GCTTTGCTAAAACCAGAACCTGTGACCAAATGCAATATACATGTTAAGTATTCAGACATCTGACAGACAAAAACTTTGAAAATGATAAAGTATGAGTATTTTTAGCTGTTGGACTGACTGATGGACTGACTGATGGACTGACGGTTGGACTGACGGTTGGACTGACGGTTGGACTGACGTTGGACTGACTGTTGGACTGACTGATGGACTGACTGTTGACTGTTTGACTGACCATTGGAGTGACTGTTGGACTGACAGTTGGACTTTTGGACTGACTGTTGGACTGACTGATGGAATGACTGTTGGACTAACAGACTGACTGATGGACTGACTGATGGACTGACTGTTGGACTGACTGATGGACTGACTGATGGACTGACGGTTGGACTGACGGTTGGACTGACGGTTGGACTGACTGTTGGACTTACTGTGAGACTGACTGATGGACTGACTGTTGGACTGACTGTGGGACTGATTGTTGGAATGTTGGACTGACTGTTGGACTGACTGATGGACTGACTGTTGGACTGGCTCTTTGAGTGACTGTTAGAGTGACTGTTGTACTGACTGATGGACTGACTGTTTGACTGATGGTTGGACTGACTGTTGAACTGATGGACTGACTGTTGGACTGATGGACTTACTGTTGGACTGACTGACTGACTGACTAACGTTTGGACTGACTGTTGGACTGACTGTTGGACTGATGGTTGGACTGACTGTTGAACTGATGGACTGACTGTTGGACTGATGGACTTACTGTTGGACTGACTGATGGACTGACTTTTCGACTGACTGATTGACTTACTTTTGGACTGACTGTTGGACTGATGGTTGGACTGACTGTTGGACTGACTGTTGGACTGATGGACTTACTGTTGGACTGACTGTTGGAATGACTGATGGACTTACTGTTGGACTGATGTTGGACTGACTGATGGACTAACTTTTGGACTGACTGTTGGACTGACTGTTGGACTGATAGTTGGACTGAGTGTTGGACTGACTGATGGACTGACTGTTGGACTGACGGTTGGACTGACTGTTGGACTGACGGTTGGACTTTTGGACTGACTGTTGGACTGACGGACTGACTGATGGACTGACTGATGGACTGACTGTTGGACTGACAGATGGACTGACAGATGGACTGACTGATGGACTGACGGTTGGACTGACTGTTGGACTTACTGTGAGACTGACTGATGGACTGACTGTGGAATTGACTGATGGACTGACTGTTGAACTGACTGATGGACTGACTGTTGGACTGACGGATGGACTGACAGTTGGACTGACTGTTGGACTGACTGGTGGACTGACTGTTGGACTGACTGTGGAATTGACTGATGGACTGACTGTTGAACTGACTGATGGACTGACTGTTGGACTGATGGTTGGACTGACTGTTGGACTGATGGACTGACTGTTGGACTGACTGATGGACTTGACAGTTGGACTGACTGTTGGACTGACTGGTGGACTGAATGTTGGACTGACTGTTTGACTGATGGTTGGACTGACTGTTGAACTGATGGACTGACTGTTGGACTGATGGACTTACTGTTGGACTGACTGATGGACTGACTTTTCGACTGACTGATGGACTTACTTTTGGACTGACTGTTGGACTGATGGTTGGACTGACTGTTGGACTGACTGTTGGACTGACTGATGGACTGACTGTTAGACTGACTGTTGGACTGACTATTGGACTGATGGACTGACTGTTGGACTTATGGACTGACTGTTGGAATGACTGATGGACTGACTGTTGGACTGACGGTTGGACTTTTGGACTGACTGTTGGACTGACTGTTGGACTGACTGATGGAATGACTGTTGGACTAACAGACTGACTGATGGACTGACTGATGGACTGACTGTTGGACTGACTGATGGACTGACTGTTGGACTGACTGATGGACTGACTGATGGACTGACGGTTGGACTGACGGTTGGATTGACGGTTGGACTGACTGTTGGACTGACTAATGGACTGACTGATGGACTGACGGTTGGACTGACGGTTGGATTGACGGTTGGACTGACTGTTGGACTTACTGTGAGACTGACTGATGGACTGACTGTTGGACTGACTGTGGGACTGACTGATGGACTGACTGTTGGATTGACTGATGGACTGACAGTTGGACTGACTGTTGGACTGACTGATGGACTGACTGTTTGACTGACGATTGGAGTGACTGTTGGACTGACTGCTGGACTGACTGTTGGACTGACTGTTGGACTGATGGTGGACGGACTGATGGACTTTTGGACTGACTGTTGGACTGACTGTTGGACTGACTGTTGGAATGACTGATGGACTGACTGTTGGACTGACGGTTGGACTGATTGTTGGACTGACGGTTGGACTGACTGTTGGACTGACTGATGGAATGACTGTTGGACTGACAGACTGACTGATGGACTGACTGATGGACTTACTGTTGGACTGACTGATGGACTGACTGATGGACTGACGGTTGGACTGACTGTTGGACTTACTGTGAGACTGACTGATGGACTGACTGTTGGACTGACTGTGGGACTGACTGATGGACTGACTGTTGGACTGACTGTTGGATTGACTGATGGACTGACAGTTGGACTGACTGTTGGACTGACTGATGGACTGACTGTTTGACTGACCATTGGAGTGACTGTTGGACTGACGGTTGGACTTTTGGACTGACTGTTTGACTGACTGTTGGACTGACTGATGGAATGACTGTTGGACTAACAGACTGACTGATGGACTGACTGATGGACTGACTGTTGGACTGACTGATGGACTGACTGTTGGACTGACTGATGGACTGATTGATGGACTGACGATTGGACTGACGGTTGGACTGAAGGTTGGACTGACTGTTGGACTTACTGTGAGACTGACTGATGGACTGACTGTTGGACTGACTGTGGGACTGACTGATGGACTGACTGATGGACTGACTGTTGGATTGACTGATGGACTGACAGGTGGACTGACTGTTGGACTGACTGATGGACTGACTGTTTGACTGACGATTGGAGTGACTGTTCGACTGACTGCTGGACTGACTGTTGGAATGTCTGATGGACTGACTGTTGGACTGACTGTTGGACTGATGGTGGACGGACTGATGGACTGTTGGACTGACTATTGGACTGACTGTAGGACTGACGGTTGGACTTTTGGACTGACTGTTGGACTGACTGTTGGACTGACTGTTGGAATGACTGATGGACTGACTGTTGGACTGACGGTTGGACTGATTGTTGGACTGACGGTTGGACTTTTGGACTGACTGTTGGCCTGACTGTTGGACTGACTGATGGAATGACTGTTGGACGGACAGACTGACTGATGGACTGACTGATGGACTGACTGTTGGACTGACTGATGGACTGACTGATGAACTGACGGTTGGACTGACTGTTGGACTTACTGTGGGACTGACTGATGGACTGATGGACTGACTGTTGGACTGATGGACTGACTGTTGGATTGACTGATGGACAGACAGTTGGACTGACTGTTGGACTGACTGATGGACTGACTGTTTGACTGACCATTGGAGTGACTGTTGGACTGACTGCTGGACTGACTGTTGGACTGACTGTTGGAATGACTGATGGACTGACTGTTGGACTGACTGTTGGACTGACGGTGGATGGACTGATGGACTGTTGGACTGACTGATGGACTGACTGTTTGACTGACTGTTTGAGTGACTGTTAGAGTGACTGTTGGACTGACTGATGGACTGACTGTTGGACTGATTGTTGGACTGACTGTTTGACTGACTATTGGACTAACTGATTGATTGACCGTTGGACTAACTATTTGAGTGACTGTTAGAGTGACTGTTAGAATGACTGTTAGAGTGACTGTTAGAGTGACTGTTGGACTGACTGATGGACTGACTGTTGGACTGATTGTTGGACTGTTGGACTGACTGATGGACTGTTGGACTTACTATTGGACTGACTGTTTGACTGACTGTTGGACTGACTGATGGACTGACTGTTGGACTGACTGTTTGAGTGACTGTTGGACTGACTGATGGACTGACTGTTGGACTGACTGTTTGAGTGACTGTTGGACTGACTGATGGACTGACTGTTGGACTGACTCTTTGAGTGACTGTTAGAGTGACTGTTGGACTGACTGATGGACTGACTGTTGGACTGATTGTTGGATGGTTGGACTGACTGATGGACTGACTGTTGGACTGACTGTTGGACTGACTGATGGACTGACTGTTGGACTGACGGTTGGACTGACTGTTGGACTGACGGTTGGACTGACGGTTGGACGGACTGATGGACTGACTGTTGGACTGACTGTTGGACTGACTGATGGCTTGACTGTTAGACTGACTGTTGGACTGACTGATGGACTGACTGTTGGACTGACTGATGGACTGACTGAGGGACTGACTGTTGGACTGACTGATTGACTGACTGTTGGACTGACTGATGGACTGACTGTTGGACTGACTGTTTGACTGATGGTTGGACTGACTGTTGAACTGATGGACTGACTGTTGGACTGATGGACTTACTGTTGGACTGACTGTTGGACTGACTGATGGACTAACTTTTGGACTGACTGTTGGACTGACTGTTGGACTGATGGTTGGACTGACTGTTGGACTGACTGATGGACTGACTGTTAGACTGACTTTTGGACTGACTATTGGACTGATGGACTGACTGTTGGACTGACTGTTGGAATGACTGATGGACTGACTGTTGGACTGACGGTTGGACTGACTGTTGGAATGACGGTTGGACTTTTGGACTGACTGTTGGACTGACGGACTGACTGATGGACTGACTGATGGACTGACTGTTGGACTGACAGATGGACTGACTGATGGACTGACGGTTGGACTGACTGTTGGACTTACTGTGAGACTGACTGATGGACTGACTGTTGGACTGACGGTTGGACTGACTGTTGGACTGATGGACTGACTGTTGGACTGACGGATGGACTGACAGTTGGACTGACTGTTGGACTGACTGTGGAATTGACTGATGGACTGACTGTTGGACTGACTGATGGACTGACTGCTGGACTGACGGTTGGACTGACTGTTGGACTGATGGACTGACTGTTGGACTGACTGATGAACTGACAGTTGGACTGACTGTTGGACTGACTGGTGTACTGACTGTTGGACTGACTGTTTGACTGATGGTTGGACTGACTGTTGAACTGATGGACTGACTGTTGGACTGATTGACTTACTGTTGGACTGACTGTTGGACTGACTGATGGACTGACTTTTTGACTGACTGATGGACTTACTTTTGGACTGACTGTTGGACTGATGGTTGGACTGACTGTTGGACTGACTGATGGACTGACTGTTAGACTGACTTTTGGACTGACTATTGGACTGATGGACTGACTGTTGGACTGACTGTTGGAATGACTGATGGACTGACTGTTGGACTGACGGTTGGACTGACTGTTGGAATGACGGTTGGACTTTTGGACTGACTGTTGGACTGACGGACTGACTGATGGACTGACTGATGGACTGACTGTTGGACTGACAGATGGACTGACTGATGGACTGACGGTTGGACTGACTGTTGGACTTACTGTGAGACTGACTGATGGACTGACTGTTGGACTGACGGTTGGACTGACTGTTGGACTGATGGACTGACTGTTGGACTGACGGATGGACTGACAGTTGGACTGACTGTTGGACTGACTGTGGAATTGACTGATGGACTGACTGTTGGACTGACTGATGGACTGACTGCTGGACTGACGGTTGGACTGACTGTTGGACTGATGGACTGACTGTTGGACTGACTGATGAACTGACAGTTGGACTGACTGTTGGACTGACTGGTGTACTGACTGTTGGACTGACTGTTTGACTGATGGTTGGACTGACTGTTGAACTGATGGACTGACTGTTGGACTGATTGACTTACTGTTGGACTGACTGTTGGACTGACTGATGGACTGACTTTTCGACTGACTGATGGACTTACTTTTGGACTGACTGTTGGACTGATGGTTGGACTGACTGTTGGACTGACTGTTGGACTGACTGATGGACTGACTGTTAGACTGACTGTTGGACTGACTGTTGGACTGATGGACTGACTGTTGGACTGACGGTTGGACTGACTGTTGGACTGACGGTTGGACTTTTGGACTGACTGTTGGACTGACTGTTGGACTGACTGATGGAATGACTGATTGGACTGACAGATTGACTGTTGGACTGACTGATGGACTTACTCTTGGACTGACTGATGTACTGACTGATGGACTGACGGTTGGACTGACGGTTGGACTGACGGTTGGACTGACTGTTGGACTTACTGTGAGACTGCCTGATGGACTGACTGTTGGACTTACTGTGCGACTGACTGATGGACTGACTGTTGGACTGATGGAATGACTGTTGGACTGATGGACTGACTGTCGGATTGACTGATGGACTGACAGTTGGACTGACTGTTGGACTGACTGATGGACTGACTGTTGGACTGACTGTTGGAGTGACTGTTGGACTGACTGTTGGAGTGCTTGATGGAATGACTGTTGGACTGACTGTCGGACTAACGGTTGGACTGACTGTCGGACTAACGGTTGGACTGTTGGACTGACGGTTGGACTGACAGATGGACTGACTGTTGGACTGACTGTTGGACTGACGGTGGACGGACTGATGGACTGTTGGACTGACTGTTGGACTGACTGATGGACTGACTGTTGGACTGACTCTTTGAGTGACTGTTAGAGTGACTGTTGGACTGATTGTTGGACGGTTGGACTGACTGATGGACTGACTGTTGGACTGACTGTTGGACTGAGTGATGGACTGACTGTTGGACTGACGGTTGGACTGACTGTTGGACTGACGGTTGGACTGAATGATGGACTGACTGTTGGACTGACTGTTGGACTGACTGTTGGACTGACTTTTGGACTGACTGTTGGACTGACTGATGGCTTGACTGTTGGACTGACTGTTGGACTGACTGATGGACTGACTGATGGACTGACTGATGGACTGACTGTTGGACTGACTGATTGACTGACTGTTGGACTGACTGTTTGACTGATGGTTGGACTGACTGTTGAACTGATGGACTGACTGTTGGACTGATGGACTTACTGTTGGACTGACTGTTGGACTGACTGATGGACTAACTTTTGGACTGACTCTTGGAATGACTGTTGGACTGACTGTTGGACTGACTGTTGGACTGACTGATGGACTAACTTTTGGACTGACTCTTGGAATGACTGTTGGACTGACTGTTGGACTGACTGATGGACTGACTTTTCGTCTGACTGATGGACTTACTTTTGGACTGACTGTTGGACTGATGGTTGGACTGACTGTTGGACTGATGGTTGGACTGACTGTTGGACTGACTGTTGGACTGACTGATGGACTGACTGTTAGACTGACTGTTGGACTGACTATTGGACTGATGGACTGACTGTTGGACTTATGGACTGACTGTTGGAATAATTGATGGACTGACTGTTGGACTGACGGTTGGACTTTTGGACTGACTGTTTGATTGACTGTTGGACTGACTGATGGAATGACTGTTGGACTGACGGACTGACTGATGGACTGACTGATGGACTGACTGTTGGACTGACTGATGGACTGAATGATGGACTGACGGTTGGACTGACTGTTGGACTGACTGATGGACTGACAGTTGGACTGACTGTTGGACTGACTGGTGGACTGACTGTTGGACTTACTGTTTGACTGATGGTTGGACTGACTGTTGAACTGATGGACTGACTGTTAGACTGATGGACTTACTTTTGGAATGACTGTTGGACTGATGGTTGGACTGACTGTTGGACTGACTGTTGGACTGACTGATGGACTGACTGTTAGACTGACTGTTGGACTTACTATTGGACCGATGGACTGACTGTTGGACTTATGGACTGACTGTCGGAATGACTGATGGACTGACTGTTGGACTGACGGTTGGACTGACTGTTGGACTGACTGTTGGACTGACTGATGGAATGACTGTTGGACTGACAGACTGACTGATGGACTGACTGTTGGACTGACTGATGGACTGACTGGTGGACTGACTGTTGGACTGACTGTGGAATTGACTGATGGACTGACTGTTGAACTGACTGATGGACTGACTGTTGGACTGACGGTTGGACTGACTGTTGGACTGATTGACTGACTGTTGGACTGACAGTTGGACTGACTGTGGAATTGACTGATGGACTGACTGTTGAACTGACTGATGGACTGACTGTTGGACTGACGGTTGGACTGACTGTTGGACTGGTGGACTGACTGTTTGACTGATGGTTGGACTGACTGTTGAACTGATGGACTGACTGTTGGACTGATGGACTTACTGTTGGACTGACTGTTGGACTGACTGATGGACTGACATTTCGACTGACTGATGGACTTACTTTTGGACTGACTGTTGGACTGATGGTTGGACTGACTGTTGGACTGACTGATGGACTGACGGTTGGACTGACTGTTGGACTGACTGTTGGACTGACTATTGGACTGATGGACTGACTGTTGGACTTATGGACTGACTGTTGGAATGACTGATGGACTGACTGTTGGACTGACTGATGGACTGACTGATGGACTGACGGTTGGACTGACTGTTGGACTGATGGACTGACTGTTGGACTGACTGATGGACTGACAGTTGGACTGACTGTTGGACTGACTGGTGGACTGACTGTTGGACTTACTGTTTGACTGATGGTTGGACTGACTGTTGAACTGATGGACTGACTGTTGGACTGATGGACTTACTTTTGGACTGACTGTTGGACTGATGGTTGGACTGACTGTTGGACTGACTGTTGGACTGACTGATGGACTGACTGTTAGACTGACTGTTGGACTGACTGATGGACTGACTGATGGACTGACGGTTGGACTGACGGTTGGACTGACTGTTGGACTTACTGTGGGACTGACTGATGGACTGACTGTTGGACTGATGGACTGACTGTTGGATTCACTGACGGACTGACAGTTGGACTGACTGTTGGACTGACTGTTGGACTGACTGATGGAATGACTGTTGGACTGACTGTTGGACTGATGGACTGACTGTTGGACTGACTGATGGACTGACAGTTGGAATGACTGTTGGACTGACTGTTGGACTGACTGTTGGACTGACTGGTGGACTGACTGTTGGACTGACTGGTGGACTGACTGTTGGACTTACTGTTTGACTGATGGTTGGACTGACTGTTGAACTGATGGACTGACTGTTGGACTTACTGTGAGACTGACTGATGGACTGACTGTTGGACTGACGGTTGGACTGACTGTTGGACTGATGGACTGACTGTTGGACTGACGGATGGACTGACAGTTGGACTGACTGTTGGACTGACTGTGGAATTGACTGATGGACTGACTGTTGGACTGACTGATGGACTGACTGCTGGACTGACGGTTGGACTGACTGTTGGACTGATGGACTGACTGTTGGACTGACTGATGTACTGACTGTTGGACTGACTGTTGGACTGACTGGTGTACTGACTGTTGGACTGACTGTTTGACTGATGGTTGGACTGACTGTTGAACTGATGGACTGACTGTTGGACTGATTGACTTACTGTTGGACTGACTGTTGGACTGACTGATGGACTGACTTTTCGACTGACTGATGGACTTACTTTTGGACTGACTGTTGGACTGATGGTTGGACTGACTGTTGGACTGACTGTTGGACTGACTGATGGACTGACTGTTAGACTGACTGTTGGACTGACTGTTGGACTGATGGACTGACTGTTGGACTGACGGTTGGACTGACTGTTGGACTGACGGTTGGACTTTTGGACTGACTGTTGGACTGACTGTTGGACTGACTGATGGAATGACTGTTGGACTGACAGATTGACTGTTGGACTGACTGATGGACTTACTCTTGGACTGACTGATGTACTGACTGATGGACTGACGGTTGGACTGACGGTTGGACTGACGGTTGGACTGACTGTTGGACTTACTGTGAGACTGCCTGATGGACTGACTGTTGGACTTACTGTGCGACTGACTGATGGACTGACTGTTGGACTGATGGAATGACTGTTGGACTGATGGACTGACTGTCGGATTGACTGATGGACTGACAGTTGGACTGACTGTTGGACTGACTGATGGACTGACTGTTGGACTGACTGTTGGAGTGACTGTTGGACTGACTGTTGGAGTGCTTGATGGAATGACTGTTGGACTGACTGTCGGACTAACGGTTGGACTGACTGTCGGACTAACGGTTGGACTGTTGGACTGACGGTTGGACTGACAGATGGACTGACTGTTGGACTGACTGTTGGACTGACGGTGGACGGACTGATGGACTGTTGGACTGACTGTTGGACTGACTGATGGACTGACTGTTGGACTGACTCTTTGAGTGACTGTTAGAGTGACTGTTGGACTGATTGTTGGACGGTTGGACTGACTGATGGACTGACTGTTGGACTGACTGTTGGACTGAGTGATGGACTGACTGTTGGACTGACGGTTGGACTGACTGTTGGACTGACGGTTGGACTGAATGATGGACTGACTGTTGGACTGACTGTTGGACTGACTGTTGGACTGACTTTTGGACTGACTGTTGGACTGACTGATGGCTTGACTGTTGGACTGACTGTTGGACTGACTGATGGACTGACTGATGGACTGACTGATGGACTGACTGTTGGACTGACTGATTGACTGACTGTTGGACTGACTGTTTGACTGATGGTTGGACTGACTGTTGAACTGATGGACTGACTGTTGGACTGATGGACTTACTGTTGGACTGACTGTTGGACTGACTGATGGACTAACTTTTGGACTGACTCTTGGAATGACTGTTGGACTGACTGTTGGACTGACTGTTGGACTGACTGATGGACTAACTTTTGGACTGACTCTTGGAATGACTGTTGGACTGACTGTTGGACTGACTGATGGACTGACTTTTCGTCTGACTGATGGACTTACTTTTGGACTGACTGTTGGACTGATGGTTGGACTGACTGTTGGACTGATGGTTGGACTGACTGTTGGACTGACTGTTGGACTGACTGATGGACTGACTGTTAGACTGACTGTTGGACTGACTATTGGACTGATGGACTGACTGTTGGACTTATGGACTGACTGTTGGAATAATTGATGGACTGACTGTTGGACTGACGGTTGGACTTTTGGACTGACTGTTTGATTGACTGTTGGACTGACTGATGGAATGACTGTTGGACTGACGGACTGACTGATGGACTGACTGATGGACTGACTGTTGGACTGACTGATGGACTGAATGATGGACTGACGGTTGGACTGACTGTTGGACTGACTGATGGACTGACAGTTGGACTGACTGTTGGACTGACTGGTGGACTGACTGTTGGACTTACTGTTTGACTGATGGTTGGACTGACTGTTGAACTGATGGACTGACTGTTAGACTGATGGACTTACTTTTGGAATGACTGTTGGACTGATGGTTGGACTGACTGTTGGACTGACTGTTGGACTGACTGATGGACTGACTGTTAGACTGACTGTTGGACTTACTATTGGACCGATGGACTGACTGTTGGACTTATGGACTGACTGTCGGAATGACTGATGGACTGACTGTTGGACTGACGGTTGGACTGACTGTTGGACTGACTGTTGGACTGACTGATGGAATGACTGTTGGACTGACAGACTGACTGATGGACTGACTGTTGGACTGACTGATGGACTGACTGGTGGACTGACTGTTGGACTGACTGTGGAATTGACTGATGGACTGACTGTTGAACTGACTGATGGACTGACTGTTGGACTGACGGTTGGACTGACTGTTGGACTGATTGACTGACTGTTGGACTGACAGTTGGACTGACTGTGGAATTGACTGATGGACTGACTGTTGAACTGACTGATGGACTGACTGTTGGACTGACGGTTGGACTGACTGTTGGACTGGTGGACTGACTGTTTGACTGATGGTTGGACTGACTGTTGAACTGATGGACTGACTGTTGGACTGATGGACTTACTGTTGGACTGACTGTTGGACTGACTGATGGACTGACATTTCGACTGACTGATGGACTTACTTTTGGACTGACTGTTGGACTGATGGTTGGACTGACTGTTGGACTGACTGATGGACTGACGGTTGGACTGACTGTTGGACTGACTGTTGGACTGACTATTGGACTGATGGACTGACTGTTGGACTTATGGACTGACTGTTGGAATGACTGATGGACTGACTGTTGGACTGACTGATGGACTGACTGATGGACTGACGGTTGGACTGACTGTTGGACTGATGGACTGACTGTTGGACTGACTGATGGACTGACAGTTGGACTGACTGTTGGACTGACTGGTGGACTGACTGTTGGACTTACTGTTTGACTGATGGTTGGACTGACTGTTGAACTGATGGACTGACTGTTGGACTGATGGACTTACTTTTGGACTGACTGTTGGACTGATGGTTGGACTGACTGTTGGACTGACTGTTGGACTGACTGATGGACTGACTGTTAGACTGACTGTTGGACTGACTGATGGACTGACTGATGGACTGACGGTTGGACTGACGGTTGGACTGACTGTTGGACTTACTGTGGGACTGACTGATGGACTGACTGTTGGACTGATGGACTGACTGTTGGATTCACTGACGGACTGACAGTTGGACTGACTGTTGGACTGACTGTTGGACTGACTGATGGAATGACTGTTGGACTGACTGTTGGACTGATGGACTGACTGTTGGACTGACTGATGGACTGACAGTTGGAATGACTGTTGGACTGACTGTTGGACTGACTGTTGGACTGACTGGTGGACTGACTGTTGGACTGACTGGTGGACTGACTGTTGGACTTACTGTTTGACTGATGGTTGGACTGACTGTTGAACTGATGGACTGACTGTTGGACTGATGGACTTACTTTTGGACTGACTGATGGACTGATGGTTGGACTGACTGTTGGACTGACTGTTGGACTGACTGATGGACTGACTGATGGACTGACTGATGGAATGGTTGGACTGACAGACTGACTGATGGACTGACTGATGGACTGACTGTTGGACTGACTGATGGACTGACTGTTGGACTGACTGATGGACTGACGGTTGGACTGACGGTTGGACTGACTGTTGGACTTACTGTGAGACTGACTGATGGACTGACTGTTGGACTGATGGACTGACTGATGGACTGACTGTTGGACTTACTGATGGACTGACTGTTGGACTGACTGATGGACTGACTGATGGACTGACGGTTGGACTGACGGTTGGACTGACTGTTGGACTTACTGTGGGACTGACTGATGGACTGACTGTTGGACTGATGGACTGACAGTTGGACTGACTGTTGGACTGACTGTTGGAGTGACTGATGGAATGACTGTTGGACTGACTGTTGGACTGATGGACTGACTGTTGGACTGACTGATGGACTGACAGTTGGAATGACTGTTGGACTGACTGTTGGACTGACTGATGTAATGACTGTTGGACTGACTGATGGACTGACTGATGGACTGACTGTTGGACTGACTGATGGACTGACTGTTGGACTGGATTCGAACCCATGCCCTTGTGTCCTTGGGCCTCTCCGCCACATTGCAGAGTACGAGTCTGGTGTCTGTGTGAGTGATTGGTGGTAATCAACCAACTGAATCAGGAAATCTGGCTCTCTATGACCAATATAGATGTAAAACACATAAATATTTACATTTTTTGTTTTGACCAAATAACTACCATCTAAAGATTTAATGAATAAATCTCCAATGTACTTTAGGAACTGAATGGCAAAAGTAAAAACAGCACACATGCTCCTCTCCACTTTTAAACACAGATTTTTTTTTTTTTTTGACTTCCACCTCGTCTGAAGGCCAATTTGGTTGGACTGACTGTTGAACTGATGGACTGACTGTTGGACTGATGGACTTACTGTTGGACTGACTGTTGGACTAACTTTTGGACTGACTGTTGGACTGACTGTTGGACTGATGGTTGGACTGACTGTTGGTCTGACTGATGGACTGACTGTTAGACTGACTGTTGGACTGACTATTGGACTGATGGACTGACTGTTGGACTGATGGAATGACTGTTGGAATGACTGATGGACTGACTGTTGGACTGACGGTTGAACTGACTGTTGGACTGACGGTTGGACTTTTGGACTGACTGTTGGACTGACGGACTGACTGATGGACTGACTGATGGACTGACTGTTGGACTGACAGATGGACTGACTGATGGACTGACGGTTGGACTGACTGTTGGACTTACTGTGAGACTGACTGATGGACTGACTGTGGAATTGACTGATGGACTGACTGTTGAACTGACTGATGGACTGACTGTTGGACTGACGGTTGAGCTGACTGTTGGACTGATGGACTGTTGGACTGACGGATGGACTGACAGTTGGACTGACTGTTGGACTGACTGGTGGACTGACTGTTGGACTGACTGTGGAATTGACTGATGGACTGACTGTTGAACTGACTGATGGACTGACTGTTGGACTGACGGTTGGACTGACTGTTGGACTGATGGACTGACTGTTGGACTGACTGATGGACTGACAGTTGGACTGACTGTTGGACTTACTGTTGGTCTGACTGTTGGACTGACTGTTCGACTGACTGATGGACTTACTTTTGGACTGACTGTTGGACTGATGGTTGGACTGACTGTTGGACTGACTGTTGGACTGACTGATGGACTGACTGTTAGACTGACTGTTGGACTGATGGACTGACTGTTGGACTGACTGATGGACTGACAGTTGGACTGACTGATGGACTTACTCTTGGACTGACTGTTGGACTGACTTTTCGACTGACTGATGGACTTACTTTTGGACTCACTGTTGGACTGATGGTTGGACTGACTGTTGGACTGACTGTTGGACTGACTGATGGACTGACTGTTAGACTGACTGTTGGACTGACTATTGGACTGACTGTTGGACTTATGGACTGACTGTTGGAATGACTGATGGACTGACTGTTGGACTGACGGTTGGACTGACTGTTGGACTCACGGTTGGAGTTTTGGACTGACTGTTGGACTGACTGTTGGACTGACTGATGGAATGACTGTTGGACTGACAGACTGACTGATGGACTGACTGATGGACTGACTGTTGGACTGACTGATGGACTGACTGTTGGACTGACTGATGGACTGACTGATGGACTGACGGTTGGACTGACGGTTGGACTGACTGTTGGACTTACTGTGAGACTGACTGATGGACTGACTGTTGGACTGATGGACTGACTGATGGACTGACCTATGGACTGACTGTTGGACTGATGGACTTACTGTTGGACTGACTGTTGGACTGACTGATGGACTAACTTTTGGACTGACTGTTGGACTGACTGTTGGACTGATGGTTGGACTGACTGTTGGATGGACTGATGGACTGACTGTTAGACTGACTGTTGGACTGACTATTGGACTGATGGACTTACTGTTGGAATGACTGATGGACTGACTGTTGGACTGACGGTTGGACTGACTGGTGGACTGACGGTTGGACTTTTGGACTGACTGTTGGACTGACGGACTGACGGACTGACTGATGGACTGACTGATGGACTGACTGATGGACTGACTGATGAACTGACTGATGGACTGACTGATGGACTGATTGATGGACTGACTGTTGGACTGACAGATGGACTGACTGATGGACTGACGGTTGGACTGACTGTTGGACTTACTGTGAGACTGACTGATGGACTGACTGTGGAATTGACTGATGGACTGACTGTTGGACTGACGGTTGGACTGACTGTTGGACTGATGGACTTTTGGACTGACGGATGGACTGACAGTTGGACTGACTGTTGGACTGACTAGTGGACTGACTGTTGGACTGACTGTGGAATTGACTGATGGACTGACTGTTGAACTGACTGATGGACTGACTGTTGGACTAACGGTTGGACTGACTGTTGGACTGATGGACTGACTGTTGGACTGACTGATGGACTGACAGTTGGACTGACTGTTGGACTGACTGGTGGACTGACTGGTGGACTGACTGTTGGACTGACTGTTCGACTGACTGATGGACTTACTTTTGGACTGACTGTTGGACTGATGGTTGGACTGACTGTTGGACTGACTGTTGGACTGACTGATGGACTGACTGTTAGACTGACTGTTGGACTGATGGACTTACTTTTGGACTGACTGTTGGACTGATGGTTGGACTGACTGATGGACTTACTCTTGGACTGACTGATGGACTGACTGATGGACTGATTGATGGACTGACTGTTGGACTGACAGATGGACTGACTGATGGACTGACGGTTGGACTGACTGTTGGACTTACTGTGAGACTGACTGATGGACTGACTGTGGAATTGACTGATGGACTGACTGTTGGACTGACGGTTGGACTGACTGTTGGACTGATGGACTTTTGGACTGACGGATGGACTGACAGTTGGACTGACTGTTGGACTGACTAGTGGACTGACTGTTGGACTGACTGTGGAATTGACTGATGTCCTGACTGTTGAACTGACTGATGGACTGACTGTTGGACTAACGGTTGGACTGACTGTTGGACTGATAGACTTACTGTTGGACTGACTGTTGGACTGACTGATGGACTGACTTTTCGACTGACTGATGGACTTACTTTTGGACTGACTGTTGGACTGATGGTTGGACTGACTGTTGGACTGACTGTTGGACTGACTGATGGACTGACTGTTAGACTGACTGTTGTACTGACTATTGGACTGATGGACTGACTGTTGGACTTATGGACTGACTGTTGGAATGACTGATGGACTGACTGTTGGACTGACGGTTGGACTGACTGTTGGACTGACGGTTGGACTTTTGGACTGACTGTTGGACTGACTGATGGAATGACTGTTGGACTGACAGACTGACTGATGGACTGACTGATGGACTAACTTTTGGACTGACTGATGGACTGACTGTTGGACTGACTGATGGACTGACTGATGGACTGACGGTTGGACTGACTGTTGGACTTACTGTGAGACTGACTGATGGACTGACTGTTGGACTGATGGACTGACTGATGGACTGACTCTTGGACTGACTGATGGACTAACTGATGGACTGACGGTTGGACTGACGGTTGGACTGACGGTTGGACTGACGGTTGGACTGACTGTTGGACTTACTGTGGGACCGACTGATGGACTGACTGTTGGACTGATGGACTGACTGTTGGACTGATGGACTGACTGTTGGATTCACTGATGGACTGACAGTTGGACTGACTGTTGGACTGACTGATGGACTGACTGTTGGACTGACTGTTGGAGTGACTGTTGGACTGACTGTTGGAGTGACTGATGGAATGACTGTTGGACTGACTGTTGGACTGATGGACTGACTGTTGGACTGACTGATGGACTGACAGTTGGAATGACTGTTGGACTGACTGTTGGACTGACTGATGTAATGACTGTTGGACTGACTGATGGACTGACTGATGGACTGACTGTTGGACTGACTGATGGACTGACTGTTGGACTGACTGATGGACTGACTGTTGGACTGGATTCGAACCCATGCCCTTGTGTTTTAGGGCCTCTCCGCCACATTGCAGAGTACGAGTCTGGTGTCTGTGTGAGTGATTGGTGGTAATCAACCAACTGAATCAGGAAATCTGGCTCTCTATGACCAATATAGATGTAAAACACATAAATATTTAGATTTTTTGTTTTGACCAAATAACTACCATCTAAAGATTTAATGAATACATCTCCAATGTACTTTAGGAACTGAATGGCGAAAGTAAAAACAGCACACATGCTCCTCTCCACTTTTAAACACAGATTTTTTATTTTTTTTATTTGACTTCCACCTCGTCTGAAGGCCAATTTGAATTTCACATTACCCGTCATAAAAAACACATTCACAGCCCTAATTATTCTCCTTCTTCCACCACCATCCACCATTAATTCCCTTCCACACCGATTAAACAGGAAAGAGAACAGCTCATAATAAATCCATTGTGTGAGTCTAGCGTGAGCAGGTTCCGAATGTGGACTAATTAAAAGCGTTGGGCTTTGACAGGTGTTTAGTAACGGCGATCCAGCTTTCTTGACGGACGCCACACTCTGTCAATCCGACACATCTGGGTTTGTCTTTGTGAAGGCGTGTCCAAACCCTGCAGCCGCCACCGTGGCCCTCTCCGCCAGCTCTGTGTTCTCCTGTCAATCACCAACTACCAAACAAAAAATAAATTATCTTTTGCTAATTCCAGAGACTGTACCGCGTTCCCCGTTGACATGTTGGCATCTGTGATTGAGGAGTCTTAGAGCGAGAACATGTTGGCATTAGATGAATTGTGAGACAACTGAAGCAGCTGCAGCAGAAATAACTGACATGACTTACTCTGAGAAACGTTTTGAGGCGCAGAAGGGAAATACCAATCATTAATTAGCAAATGTGTCTGTTCTGAGCGAGGATCGGCAGATGGGATCTCACAGATATCAGGAATTTGCCACAGTTAGTTACACATGGATCTACCAGAACGGAAAGTTCATCTGCAAAGCAATTGGACAGACTGGTTTATTACAAGATAAAATATATGATATTTGCTTATTCCAATTGTTATTACTACTGTAGTATTACTATTGTTGTATTATTATTGTAGCCTGGTCTTCTGTAAACTTTCTATGTGGCAGTAAAATAAATGCTGGTCTCTCTCTCCTCTCCTCTGCTGGTCTCTCTCCTCCTCTCCTCTGCTGGTCTCTCTCTCCTCTAGGGCTGGGCGATATGGCTGAAAACTATATCACGATAAAAGTCATTCATATCGGTCGATAACGATATATATTGAGGTTTTTTTTTAACCTAAATAAATATATTTGTCGTGTGGGCTAACCAACCTTAGCAGCCTTGTTTACAGTCACGGGGCGATGAGGCTGGAGAAATATGTTCACACTGTGTCCCTCGTTGTTAGTCCTGGTTTAATCCTGGTTTTTTATTCCTGGTTTAGCTCCTGGTTTAGCTCCTGGTTTAGCTGTTTGAGGGTCTTGTGTCCCCGTGGCCGCTCCGTGTGGCTCTCTGTGCCGCACATGCTTCCCGAGGAAAAAGTTAATCTCTTGCTTTCGCCGAATACATCGGGTCTGTCCACTGCCTCTGCCGCCGCACATGTTATTCCGCGCACGTACGTGCATAACCATTGACACAGCATTGAAACACGAGCTATAGATCCATGGACGCCACGCATGCTGCGGTTGTTGTTGTTTTTGCATTTCCCACAAAGTTTTGCGGTTCCTGCTCGGCTGTTATTGGTCGAGAAGCCTCCGCCTACATCCCCCACAATGCCATGCGCTTATGAGTCGGCTTTACTTCCGGTGTTTTCTTCCTGTTTTTCCTGACGGAGTTAAGTTAAACTATCGAACATTCTATCGACCCCATTCTCTATTGATATCGAACACATGTCTATCGCGATATATATCGTTATCGTTTTATCGCCCAGCCCTACTCTCCTCCTCTACTCTTCTGGTCTCTCTCTCCTCCTCTGTGTTGTTGTCAGGAGGGAGCTCTCTGAGGAGGTGTTTAGCTGAAGGCGCTATACGACTCCTTCTCTTTCTGTGTGGAACAAACGTCTCAGGTTTGAGTAAAACTGACTTTTTTACTCACAGTTGTGTATTTTGTTATTTGACTTTTGGAGTGACAAATGTCACATTGATATTAAATGATTTGTCCTTCTCCTGAGTGAACAAAGTGAGTATTTATGGTTTTAATAAAATGTCTATTCCCTTGTTTTGTGTTGGTTTGTCAAGGGTGGGGGACATCAGGGGTGAGGCACATCAGGGGTGAGGGACATCAGGGCTGGGGAACATCAGGGTGGGGGACATCAGGGTGATGGACATCAGGGGTGAGGCACATCAGGGTGAGGGACATCAGGGGTGAGGCACATCAGCGTGAGGGACATCAGGGGTGAGGGACGTCAGGGGTGGGGCACATCAGGGTGCGGGACATCAGGGTGAAGGACATCAGGGGTGGGGCACATCAGGGGTGGGGCACATCAGGGTGAGGCACATCAGGGTGAGGCACATCAAGGGTGGGGCACATCAGGGTGAGGCACATCAGGGGTGAGGATCATCAGGGGTGGGGGACATCAGGGGTGAGGCACATCAGGGGTGAGGGACGTCAGGGTGAGGCACATCAGGGTGAGGGACATCAGGGTGAGGCACATCAGGGTGAGGGACGTCAGGGTGAGGCACATCAGGGGGAGGGATATCAGGGGTGAGGCACATCAGGGGTGAGGCACATCAGGGGTGAAGCACATCAGGGTGAGGGACATCAGGGTGAGGCACATCAGGGTGAGGCACATCAGGGTGAGGGACATCAGGGGTGAGGCACATCAGGATGAGAAACATCAGGGGTGGGGCACATCAGGGGTGAGGCACATCAGGGGTGAGGGACATCAGGGTGAAGCACATCAGGGGTGAGGAACATCAGGGTGAGGCACATCAGGGGTGAGGCACATCAGGGGTGAGGGACATCAGGGTGAGGCACATCAGGATGAGGCACATCAAGTGTGAAGGACATCAGGGTGAGGGACATCAGGGTGAGGGACATCAGGGTAAGGCACATCAGGGGTGAGGATCATCAGGGGTGAGGCACATCAGGGTGAGGGACATCAGGCGTGAGGGACATCAGGGTGAGGGACATCAGGGTGAGGCACATCAGGGGTGAGGCTCATTAGGGTGAGGCACATCAGGGGTGAGGCACATCAGGGTGAGGGACATCAGGGGTGGGGCATATCAGGGGTGAGGGACATCAGGGTGAGGGACAACAGGGGTGAGGCACATCAGGGGTGAGGGACATGATGTGAGTTCAGCATCAGGTTGTTGATGCACCTAAACAAACGCTGCGAGTTCATGTGAAGCTGCTTTTCATTTATAAATAATAACAACATTAGAATAATTTCTTTCATTTCACAGTTCTAACTTTTGTGCATAACAACATGTTTTTGTTTATGAAAATTATGTATGCGACAGTGGCTCAGAGCATTGGCCTTAAAGCCTTAAGGTTGTGGGTTCGAGCCCATCATAATACCTACTTCACGACTCCCACTGATGTCTGCTGTCGTTGTGTCCTTGGGCAAGACACTTAACCCCACTTTGCCTGAAGGCCCTACTGAATAATCAAGGCTCCTGTGGACTCAGCACCTGCAGGAGGATCAGTGAGGGGCTGGTGCTCTGTGTAATGGGTGCAGCTCTGACTGCCACCCCCTGACCCAGAAATGGATCGGGGGAATAAAATGGATGGATGGAAAATAATGTAATTATTGTAAGTCACTCCACATTCACTTTAACATCAGTCTATGAACCAGGAAGTACCAGGAGCACAGAGAGAGGCCTACTGTTGGGACTCTGAGAAGCACAGGGACTGGCCACCACAGTATCAAGTGTGTGTTCTGATCTAAAACACAGGTTTGTTTCTGTCTTTAGTAAATCTGTGGAATTTCAAATATGACGTTTGCTTCAATAGTTCCCACCGTCATTAACCCTTCTGTCAACACACACACACACACACACACACACACACACACACATACACACACACAGAGACCAACACCCGCGGTAAATGACGATGAAAGATACTCAAAAACAAGTCTGATTCTCACATGATAAAGATCAGCTCCAACACAATGGGCCTCGGTCTTGGTCTTGGTTTCGGTCTTGGTCTTGGTCTTGTAAATACGAGTGTTAATGAGGCGTGCGGAAAAGAGGAGGCTGTTGATATGTGTTGTAAGAATATTATATCTTGGTTTGGACCCTGTTCATGTTCAGACCCAAACTAACCCAAACTAAATAAAACAATTCAGTTTCTGAGTTAGGGAATATAACGAGAAGTGAGACCCAGGCCAGAGAGACCCAGGCCATCAGAGAGACCCAGGCCATCATATTTAATCAAGTTTATCCAAATATTGGATAAACTATTTAATCATATTTAATCAACATATTTAATCAAGTTTATCCAAATAAATACATTTTTGTATTTTAAGTTTCCCTGACTAAAATGAGCCGTAGGTACTTCCTGTGGAGGATCTGCTCGAGGCCAGTTCTACAGTCTCCTTTGTTGCTTTGCTTACAGAGTGTTGTCTTCAGTGGCTCCTGATCTTATTTTTATTTTTTTTATCTGATGGTTCAAAACCTCTAAAACCTCCTGCTATGTCCCATTGTGGCATATGTTTATGGTTAAACTGTTGTTAGGGATCTCTGTTATCACACTGAAGAATGTGGAGCGTGCAGAGCGGTAAGCTGATCCAGTTTGGGCATGTGCTGTTTCCTGAACATAATGGGCCTGTGCTCAGTGACTTCTTCAGGGCAAATCAGACCAACAATGGAAAGTGTGTTAGAAACTGCTGCCTCACTGCTGTTTCTGTAAATGTCAGTTATAAGATCTGCCACGTCTGTTTACCGACTCTCGTGAGCGAAGGTCTCTCCGTGGTATTTTAGGAATGGAGAAGTTTGGATTCACACATTAAGAATCAGAACTCCCTCCCTGGACCAAGTGGACCATTAGTGTCATAACCAAGTGGACCATTAGTGTCAGAACCAAGTGGACCATTAATGTCATAACCACATGTACGGAGCTCTGGGAGGGAACCTGGTTTAATGACAAAGAACAGAACAAAGCCATAGTTGTCTTTTCTGATGGCCTCATCCTTCCTGTCCCAGTTTGACTAAGCACAGAGTCCTTCTCCCCCACACACACTACTGCGTAATTGGCTTTAAAATGCAGCGTAATGGTCGTGTTTACAGCATGAATCAACATGGGACCCACTCCATCGTCTGCACTGCATAATCTGCTCTTTTTTGTTTTTATTGTCTTTAACTTAAAGCCTGCAAGCAACTGCTCAGACCAGATGTAAGAGGCTCTAACTGTTCATTTGAGGTTCTATTAAAAACTTGTGTGCTCAGGGCCCCGGGGAGTTTGGGGCAAACACTCTGTTACCGTGTCATTATTTTTGGTCTTATATAAGTAAAGGCATCTGCATTTTGTGCCGATGGCTAAAATTCTGAACGACACCAAACAAAACAAGCAAATGATTGCAGTAAGTGAAGCTTAATCCATGAGATCCAGCAGGAGATCGCTATCAGCAGCTCAGGCAGAACATGTCCATTCAGCAGATGGAGAAATCAGTAAATCAGTAAATCAGTCTGATGGACCGTTACACACTGTTCCACTGCAGATGTCTGATAACGCACAAGTTTTACACCAGTCACAAGTTTAGCTACGGCCCATTTCCAGAACAGAGGTCGTTAGAATCTGTAACTTCAGCATCTAAATAATAACTGTTTGTAGAATGTTTGTCAAATTGAAAAAGTCCAACCACAACATGTCCTTCATCTTTATTAGAAAACACTGAATATGTTACACACAGTTGAATGAAATGACTTATCTGAAGATGTGACAAAGGCCAAACACACATGCATCAAAACTAAACTACCATATTGAGAGCTAGGAACTAGTTTCATTGGTTTTATTACAGTTAAATATTGTGGTTTCAAAGTCCAGTTTTAACTTGATTGATTTGCATGAAATTGGTAAAATGTTGTCAGATTTCCATATTAAGTGCAACAATCTCGTGTCTCTAGATTCTACATCCCTGTAAATGTATTTGCTCAAATGCATTGTAAAGTATGCAACACAGTACTGCAATAAATCAGTATTTACTACAATTCTGAAAACAAGAGAGAAGCAAGTCCAGCTGGTAACCTTTCGCATTAAAAACAAATGCATTCCACGGTTTATTGTACAGTAAAGAGCAGTCCAAACACTTGCAACAGCCCAGATGGTCCGAACACGTCCCAATAAATATGGCAGTTGTTTTTTCCTCTTATGCTAAATCCTTAAGCCGGACCCTCTCAGCCCACACTCCTGTCAGCATCAAGGAGAGCGTTTTAAAAATCACAAAACGCTCTAATGCGCCTCAGACAATGCAGCAGTGAGAGCGGCGAGGGCGCAGCAGCTGGTGGCGTGGCCCATTCAAAGGGGAGCAGGACTTAAATTGCCGATGGGGACACATAAATTAGCATCCTCAAAGACACCACTTAGATTTACTTTCCAACTGGGAGCGGCTCGACAGGGGTCACTGTTCTTTAAATGAGCAAACCTTAAATAAAAAGCCACACGCGCTAGGAGCAAACCCACACCAGAGAGAAGACACCATCACAGCCTCAATGTCAATCAATTACATCTTTGGGTTTCATCTATTTTTGCAACAACAATTGTGCTTAAGAGTAAAATTATCCTGATCCTTTTTTGTTTAAAATAGCCTTTTTTGAAATAAGAAACTTGACACGTCAAACCAACTGAGTGACATGAAACTAGCTCCAACATAAAGTAAATTAGACACAGTTCTTATCCTTATGCAGCTGTCCTTATCTTATCTTAGAATGTTATTTTTTGATCATGGATTATAGAGAAGCCCTGCAGGATCTCAGAAGCTTTGTATGAAACTATAGCAGACTAATGTTGTGTCCTTGGGCAAGACACTTCCCATCATCATGGTGTGGATAATTTGTTAAGTGGTATTTTTGGTTTCTTTTACTTCTTGTTCCTCTGTTTGATTGTCTGCCCCGCCCTTAATGTGTTTCACCTGTGTCTGCATCAAGCCCCGGCGATCCAAGATGGCGTCGTATTCAAATGAATGGTTTGTGCTTAGTGGCGCATTGTGCCGGCACGGGCGCTGACATATTAGCGGAACTCGCCGTATCAATCGCTATATTAAGGCATCGTCTGGTCCTCCCGGTTCTGTGCAGTGGACGAGCTCCCATGATGCGTTGTGGCAAATACGCATGTGTGGCTGTCATGCACGTGCACAGAGGGGCTCGGCCCCGCTCTGACCAATCAGAGCAGTTCACCAGAGCGGGAGTTAGAGCGAGAGCAGAGTTTGTGGCACTAAAGATTGAATTTAAAGAAAACCGAAGGATTTAAGACGAAAAAAGTTCAGGATGATAAGGGACACTAAAATCCTCACAAAATCCGCCCTTTATGGAAGCTGTAGGTTCTCTGTCAGCTGAGGTCGAGCTGTTTTAGTTTACATTGAGTTCTATGGGGAAAATTTCTGGGTAGCCCACGTCAATTTGGTTTAGTTCAGTCTGCAGTACCGCCAGAATCCCCCGAGCACATGGGTCCTTCAGCACCAAGCTGTAATACCCTATCCAGTTATTATAATAGATCCATGGTCTGTATGTACCTGTGTCTATAGGTACCGGTGTCTATATGCACCTGTGTCTTTATGTACCTGTGTCTATATGCACCTGTGTCTATATGTACCTGTGTCTATATGCACCTGTGTCTATATGTACCTGTGTCTATATGTATCTGTGTCTATATGTACCTGTGTCTATATGTACCTGTGTCTATACTGTATGTACCTGTGTCTATATGTACCTGTGTCTATATGTACCTGTGTCTGTGTATATATGTACCTGTGTCTATATGTACCTGTTAACAAGTGTGTGCTAATTATTGGGTTGGATTCCACCTCCAGTCGAAGAGTTTGCATGTTCTTCCTGTGTCTGTGTAGGTGTCCTCCAAGTGCTCCGGTTTCACTCAGACATGTGTGAACGATGGCGATTGCACGGATTAGAAATGTGTCCATTTTGTATAGCACTTTGTTTGATCTTGGTCTGTGAAATGTGCTAAATAAACAAAAATTATTATAGTTTAAAAAAAAGATGACTAATAGATACTAACTCTGTTCCAACATTTTTGTGCTTCTCTGCAGCCTCTGAACAACATATTTCCATCTTGACGGTTTGGACAGGTTTGTTTTAAGGAGAAGCAGAATCTGTTCCGTGCAGAGGACGGTGTTCGGCTCCTGCCAAATCAAACAGATTCCGGGTCTGAGCACTCGGGGCCACCCCCCACCCTCCACAATATATCATTGTGCAGTAATGTTTGGAGTCTGGGGAGGGTCCTGCTCTTCCAGATATGTTCAGACATCATTGACATCCTCTACTCCCTAAATGTCAAGGAGTCAAAGCCATATCTCTCGCCCGGATGACTTCATTTTTGAACGGCCAAAACAGAACAGAGTGTATCCCAAGTTAAAAGTTAAAAAATCCATAGTTAAAACAAGGATGAGGGTAAAGTATTCACACAAAGTAAAGTAAAAATCATGTAAAAATATAGATATAAATGTAGTAAAAATAGTGAACGAGGAGGAGACAAACAAAACACTGCAGATCTCTGGAATAATGAGTTTATTTATTGTATTTTCTCTGTATAACTGGGTATTAGCACAAAGCTAACATCTGTGAACGTTAGCCTTCCCCTGGTGGACAAACGCAGACATTACGTCAAGACTTCAGATTTGCACTTGTTGTTTTAACATGACTCTACATCACATTTTACATTTCAGATAATTGTAGTGACTGACAAATGAAAAGGAGCAAAAAGAAGAAATCTCACACAACAAAGAGACAAAGTTAATCTTTTACTTGTTACATTGTACAAGGAGAATGTCTTGACAGAGGCAAGGCACAGACCCTAGCCTCTCTCAGGACAAGTCTGAAGATTCACAGTCTGCAAGCCCCTTTTGGTAGAGCAAGACACACCTTCGTATGCAGATGGGAAAGGAAGAAACCAACACAACAAAAGACACTTAGCATATGAGCTCCCCAGACCTCCCGGTGTCTTCCTGAAGCTAAAGTGAATTACAATACAGAGCATTCAGCATATAGCCACATATGATTTACCAAAATGATAACTTAAGTTACATTCCAATATCATTGGATTAAAGGGCCCATGTGTGCTTCTGAACCTTTTTCGACACATCTATGAAATACATCAGACTCTTACCGCAGTCATGTGACACTCCTGGTTCTCGGTGTTCACCTGCACCACCTGCAGGTGGTGCTGTTTTTGTGGTTGGTTCAGAGTCATTCAGTTTCAGTTTCAGTTTAGTTTATTTCAAAGGGGACAATGCAATTTAATAAAACACATGATAAAACATGAGTTTAAAAAGCCAGAATTAGCCAAGGAGGCTATTTTTCATCTGTAGTCCCCTGGCCGTGATGTTAAAAAGCCATTAACAATACATTAGGGGCGACAGTAGCTCAGTTGGTAGAGCAGTGGCCTTTGAGCCTGGGGGTCGTGAGTTCAATTCCCACCATGGGACCTACTCCAACTGCTCCCACTGATGTCTACTGTCGTTGTGTCCTTGGGCAAGACACTTAACACTAAAAGACTAAAAGGCTGTTTCACCCCTGACAGACCAGCCATCTTCCTGTGGACTCACCCCCTGCAGAGGATCAGCGAGGGACTGGTGCTATGAGCATTGGGTGGCAGCTCTCATTGCCACCCCCCTGACCCAGAAATGGACAATAAAGGGCTTGAAAATGAATGAATGAATGAATGAATAAAAAACATTAAAATATGGTAACATGACAAAATTACAATACTATTTACAAGACATAAGCATATCATACATCAGTTAATGAGGGCAAGTGTATGTAGTTACCATCCATTCCTTTAGGTGCTGTGAAAAAGCCCTCTAACAGTCTGTGGTAGTGAGTTCCACTCTCTGGTACCTCTAACGGACCAGGCAGACTGACTGAAGGTGATCTTACGCAGACGGATCACACGGTCGCCTCTCACAGAGCCTCTAGTGAGCCTCTCACTACAGTTCCTTTGACTTATTAGACCTGCGAGTGGAGCGTGAGCCAAACTATGAGTTGCTTTATACATTAAGCATAGATTTGAGCTGAGATCTGCAGAAAAGCATCAGGCCTAAAGAGTAAAGTTACTTTATGGGAGGAGCCTGGATTTCTGTTGATTTGGGAAATGTGTTAAAACCACTATTATTGAGGATTTTTTTTTTTTTTTTCAACTTTTCATTTTCAAAAACAAATAATAAACACACACTCAGATAAACAACCCAAAATAAGACTTGATTGGAGTGGGAGCTAGTTTAAAATGTCCGTCCGTCTGTTTCCTTCCCCTTAATCAATTTCTGGGTCGAGGAGTGGTAGTCAGAGCTGTACCCAATCGCACCAGCCCCTCACTGATCCTCCTGCAGGTGCTGAGTCAGGGGGGGCTTCAGGCAGTAGGCGTCACTACGGCCGTAATAACTTTCCCAAATCCAAATTCATGTTTGGAGTTGCTAAACTTTTCAAACTTTAGCCTCCTCTTGTTATTGACGAGTGCAAAGATATGAGGTAAACGATAAGACAAATGCATTAAATCTGTTATTTATTATTTATTATATTCTTTCTCCAGCTCCAGCTCCTGGACCACACAACTGCATTACTTCACCTCCTGCGCTTAATTTTACTCCACCTTCTTCTTCTGTCACAGTCTGTTCTAACTCCACCTTCTTCTCTGTCACAGTCTGTTCTAACTCCACCTTCTTCTCTGTCACAGTCTGTTCTAACTCCACCTTCTTCTCTGTCACAGACTGTTCTAACTCCACCTTCTTCTCTGTCACAGTCTGTTCTAACTCCACCTTCTTCTGACACAGTCTGTTCTAACTCCACCTTATTCTTCTGTCACAGTCTGTTCTAACTCCACCTTTGTCCACCTTCTTTCTACCTTCTTTCTGCTCCAAGAGAATGTAAGTGCTCCATGTATCCAAAGGTCAGGGGATCGCCGGTCCTGAAGTGCATTTATCTTGCTCTAATGATATCCACCTGTAAAGGCAGTGTGTGGGGGGGCCGGGGGGGCAGGGTGGGGGTCCGGCTCCATCCATCACCCGGGGGTAATGTGGAGGTGGAGGCTGTCAGAGGAGACAGAGCCTGACAACCTGCAGACCATTAAAGCAGGAGATAATGTGCGGATGGTCCACAGACAGGAGCTGAGACGGAGAGGACCAAGGCGCCCACGAGACCAAACTGAAACCTAAAATGCATTTGTGAGTTATTTAAAGGTCCCATATTAATGTTTTAGTCTTTTCTCTTAAACATCATCACAGCTGTTTGCTATGAGGAGTTTTTCATTGATTCCATCGAGCTTTAGTCAGAGACAAACTTTCTGTTTCTCAGAGACAAACTTTCTCTTTATCACTTCACGTAGCATCACTTTCACACGTAGCTCCGGAAGTCCCGCCCCCAGGAGGTGATTGACAGGAGAGAGGAACCAGGATGAGGGCGGAGGGAGGCGGGCTCTCAGTGGAAGGAGCACAGATCCAAGCGTTTGCAGACATCCGCTCTATGCAAGAAATGGTTACAATCTCTAAGTTTTGAGCGTTGTTTAGTGTATGACCCACATTATCATCACACATGTACTTTGGATGGACTGTGAAAAATTAAGAAAAGTGAAATATAGGACCTTTAAAAGTCTTATGCTGAGGCTAACCATAGTTAGTGGTTTCAAAGTACCTAACTTTGAAACCACTAACTATTGAACTGTAATCAAACATTGTGTTATTTCTCAAAAAAAAATTGCCTATGTCACTATGTCAAAATGTCATTGCAGTGAATAATTCGTAAAGTTTTAGTGCTTATTAGTCTAGAAATAACTTGTTTTTCATCCACATACACAAACATGTACAATAGATAAATCACCCAGTCCCTACCATCACCTACTTGGTCAAAATAACAAAGAATTAGAAGATTAGACTTGTTTTCACTTTAATGATAATGATTTGTTTTGTTAATAACGGCTGCAGAGTTCCATGTTTGTTCCAGTGTCAGCTGGTGTGGCGTCTGAAAAAGTTTGTGGAACACTGCTTAACCAGTATCTCTCTTGCGACACCTTTCAGAATCCCAGGCCTGACATGTAATCTCCGTAGTATTCTCCTCCATAACTCTGACACACAAAGCCATTATCCCTGAGCCCCTCCCCGGCCTCATGTGACACTGATTTAATTTAGTGTTTTCAGACCCAAAAATAAGCGTTGGCACAGTGCTTTTCCCATGCTTTCTCCCAGTCCAAGAATGTAACCCCCTGTGATCCAAATGAGCTCATTTTGGCCCAAAACACAAAGTGATATTTTCTCTGTGCGGAGCATGAGTGGGATCAGCGACTACAGACTGTCAAAAACTACAGACCGTCAAAAACTACAGACTGTCAAAAACTACAGACCGTCAAAAACTACAGACGGTCAAAAACTGTAGACTTTCAAAAACTACAGACCGTCAAAAACTGTAGACTTTCAAAAACTACAGACCGTCAAAAACTATAGACTTTCAAAAACTACAGACCGTCAAAAACTCTGTCTTTTCATATTTTTCAAACTGGAAACCACAAAGTCACTCTGAGAAACAGTCTGTAACAGGCAGAGAAGTGCATGTGATCTGATGTGAGCGTCTCTGCGGCGCAGGCAGCGTCTGTTCTGCTCTTCCGTCACAAAAGATGGCCGCTCGGATTTAATGAAGTAAACAAAATGGCGGAGGCAAGAAGCGTTCATCAAGTGACATGAGGAGATGATCATGGACCAGAGTTTACACATGGTAAGACCAGGCTAATATGAAATGTGCTATTCAAATAATCTTGCGTATCCAGGGCTTATATATGTTTTATGTGAACTGAATATATTTACTCATAGTCTACTCTACATTATCACTGTAGTTTGCTTTTCTGCAGACACTGTTCAGACACACATTTTCAAAGAAACTGTTTTATCGTTTCAAAAGTATCGCTCTCTCTGTTCTCTCCTTTGTTACAGAATAAATAACTCTGAGGAGGTTTCACAGATTCACTCAGACATTTAGGCTTCTCTTTCAGAGTCTACGGAACATAAATAATTATAAACTTCATTTTCATTAAAATCACATGTTTTCAGTAAGAGTGAATCTGAGCTGTTTGGTCAATTCATTAAAGCTGCACTAACTTATTTGGAGAAAATTTCAAACGCGACCGTTGTTCTTGCTCTTTCTGCTTGCCCTCCCCGCACCCACGGAGCTTTCGCCCCCCCACTACCCCTGTGCTCTGTGTGCTGTTGTTAGCTCGGAGCTAGCGTCTCACAATATGTAACAATATGGCACTTTTGAGAGTGGATGGCGTGACCAGAATGACAGAAGCATGGCGAGGACGAGACTTTCTTTTGGATGGATGTTTTGTTGAGTAAGCAGTAACTAGGGTTGCCAACTTGAGAACAAAAAAATAAGGGACACCATTTGGGTGGATTGGGTTGAGCACTTTTTAGTCCTTTACACAGTAATCATGGAATTTCATAATCAGAGTTTTTAGAATGTAATTTCTTGACTACATGTAAAATAAACCACATTCCTAGACAAAAATGAAATTTAATATATAGGTGGAACTCTTTGGCTGGTTAAGGACTTAATGCATTCTTATTAGTAATATAAAATATAAATAAGACAAATGCTGTAACATAAATTATTTATGTATGTTACAGTAAAGACCAATTACTGTAAAAGCAAATAAAAAAAGAAAAACAAATGTATTAATTTAAAAAAAACTCACAAATCAAAGTCTGTAGCAGTTAGACATGGTCATTATTTATTGTGTCTGAGAGTTTAGTTTAGAATTGTTCGTTTACAAAGCTGGTTGTTTGTTGATGCTCCCTAAACGCTTTTCTAGGCACTTGCAGAGCATTGGATTCAATGGATTTCTCTGCAAACAGTGAATTGGATTTGAAAAATCAACGTAGATCAATGATCATTTTAGCACAATCATTTTTTATAACAAAGTAGCTTTCGTGAGATATTGACCGCGGAAGTCCGAATCTGGGAATATGGCGCTACTTTATCCATGAAACTTCTGCTGTGATGATGCTGCGGGCACGGCCCACGCTGGGGCTTGTCAACAATAATCCAATGTATGTGATCAAGTCTACGCCCCTTTGACCTATGCACACCCGGGAAGAACATGCAAACTCCACTCAGAAGGGCCCTGTTCTGACCAAGATTCAAACCCAGGACCTTCTGGCTGAGAAGCGAGAGTGCTAACCACTCTGCCACCGTGCCGATAACAATAATGTTATGAACGATCGTAACATTGAGATAAAACTGAAAGTCCACAACAAATTCAAAAACAAACGTGGAGTGAAAATAAAATGATTAAATGAGTCGAACGAACTCCTGCGGCTGCGAGCTGTCTGTAAATGAAGCTCCTCACGGATGAATAAAGTTATTTGAATTGAATGGAATCCCAGCAGCAGTCGTTGTGGTTTGACTCAAAAGACTTTGCTCTTGTGGAGACTGGAAGTTTTGTATAATAAATAATTAATAAGTAATTAATGCTGCTCCTTTTGGAACGTATACTGGAAAAATAAATGATCTGAATTTATTCGAAGCTTTTAAATCCAGATGGAGACTGAGACGTCCTCATTGTTTTTTTTAAATCTGTAACCATGTGTAACTGTTTTTATAATCTGTAATTGTCTGTGATTGTGTGTAACTGTTTTTATAATCTGTAATTGTTTGTAATTGTGTGTAACTGTTTTTATAATCTGTAGTTGTCTGTAATTGTGTGTAACTTTGTGTAACTTTTGTCCAGGACTCCCTTAAAAAATAGGTTCTAATCTCAATGGGACTTTTCAGGTTAAACAAAGGTACATATCCATAGAATAATGTGTAGTTTACAGTAATTGCAATAGAATAAAGTAGTTTTGTTACAGTCCGCTCTGTGTGTTTTGTCCTTGTCGAGACTCACTTCCTGTCCAGTTTCTCCACAGCCTCAGAGCGACTGTTATTCCACTCATGCAGCGACCCAGACTGTAATGTAAATGCAAGTGGCATTAATTTCATTACAAATGGGAACAGTGAGGGGTAAAGCCTGAATAATTAACTGGAGAGGCTCAGTGCTAGTGCTTGTGTCTGTGCCTGTGCCTGTAGCTGCTAAAGCCTAATATAACCCCAGGAAGGCACTTTTAACTATGATACCCACTCAGCAGTGATGCATGGGCCACTCCGCTCCAAACACATTGATTATGCATTTGTAGTAGCACTTCAAAACACTCCCATGCACCAGCGGCCAATTCACAGCCACCCGTTTTGAATAATATACATAAATTTCCTCTTTGACAGGAAGCTCAATCCCTGGTTTTATATTGCTACCTTTAGTAGATAATGGAAAAATAACTTGCTCACAAAAACAGTTTATGTAAGAGGCGGCGTGTGGGTCTCTCCGGTAAATGGCTGCTCCTTCGGTCGCGGTGGGAGTCGGCTGAAGTTATTTCGGGCAGCTCTGTGAAATGTGTTTAGGTGCTTGAGCTGAAGAGCACTGCTGCCTCGGACAGAAATGGAGGCTCCAGGCATCTTTTTAGTAAGTGTCACTTTACAGAACACATGCACAGGGCGGAGGGTCGGATCCCAACTGTGAACACCACACACTCTGAGAGATTAAGCCCTGATCTGTCTGTTTATCTATCTATCTATCTATCTATCTGTATCTCACACTTCAATCCATTCTTATATAACGATAAATTACAGTTATCTCGAGACTTAACAAAAACGGTGAAATCCCCTGTTAAAACACAGAGACCACATGGTATTGGACCATAGGGAAGAGGTTCTAATCTCAATGGGACTTTCCTGGTTAAAAAAGGGTAAATATCCCTAGAATAATGTGTAGCCTACAGTTTGGACACACGGGCACCGTTTGTGCCGATAGGATTGATAAGTGCCACCACTCTGCTCTGACTGCCGTTCTACAGTAATTGCATTCTCTCTGCCTACTCGATGGATCTCACCTCATATCGGGATCTCTACGAGATGATGCCTCGCGCTCTATCTCTCTGCGACTCGGTCGTCTCTCACGTGGCGGAAGAGGCGCTCATTAATGCGGAGCGCCCACCCAGAGCGGCTGGTCGGCCCGCAAAAGCCAGGAGCTTCATGAACTTATGGGCTGCTGACATGGGTCATTCTTACTCGCACGCCGGTCACCTGCGTCCCGATACATTATCTCTGCACAAAATTGGCCTCTACAGCCCCGTCGGTGGCCAAGTCCAAATAAAAAAAATTCTACCATATCAACTATGCTGCGTTTAAAATCGTGCGCACGGTGGTGCTCGCGCGGTTGACAAGTTACTCTTTACTCCCGCTCCGACACTTTCAAGATTCATCAATACCCAGCCAGAACCTTGTGATCCGCGCCTCTTCATTGCTGATAATCTCCGTGACCTGCGCTTGTAGCATCACCGCCTGCGCTGTCTCAGCGCGTGCGAAGCACAAAATCAGATAACATAAATAAATATCTACGTAATAACTATTTTATGTTGTCCTCTCTTTCCCATTCACGCTCTCATTGGTCATCCGCTTTAGAGAGCCTGATTTCCTCTCGCACTATATACGTCGAGAGCGCTCCCGTCCTATGCCCACCCTCACACAACTTCCCGCCCTATCACTGACCATACCTGTCCTCCCTCTGTGCTCATCCGGATCTACTGTGACGCAGAGACGCGCACCGTATCAACTAACCTATGCCCCCACATAGAGGTCTATCACGCCTATCCCCCTGTACCCTCATAACTCGCTCATGGCCTTCACCACGCGCAGCGCTCACCCTACACATCCCGCATCGTCGCTCACACATCACACATGCCGACACTGCCCTCCAATCAGTACAACGTCACATCAGTCATGCTACATTCCCAAGTCCAGACGCCAACAACCAAGCTCCTCCTTACTAGTCTATCGTACCTGGCGATTACTCCTACAAGCCCAGAGCCTTCCTATCTACTGTCACTGCCCTACCAACTGCGCAATGTGACCCCATACAGTCCACGCATCTAGACTCCAGTCAGTCACATACCACCACGGCCGCACCACTCTATTCCCAAAATCCTCAGCCGGCCAGTACACTCCACATCGTCCTCTCGTTCACCAATCTCCGTCCACACACCTCCTAGAACAGTCACAGCTCACATATCACGCTCAACCTCAAACTAAACACACAGTAGCTCCATACCACCAGGCCAGCTCCAACAGCCATAGCTCCAGTACACATCTACAGGCCCTCGCTTCAACGGCGCCACAGTCACACACCATCATCGACGCTCGCCTTATCACATCCACAGCGCAATCTCACCCATCTACTAGCTCACATCATCGTCACTAACGCTACCCATGCAGCTTCCCATATACACTGCTCAGATCACACTCCCCACGTCACCCCCCACCCCGGCTGCTACCACATGGCAACGTATCCATAACCTCGGTCTATAGGCTCCACACCTCTATCCGCCGTCACACGTCTCTCATTACGCGTCAGTCTCCTCTCCGTCTGTATCCTCACGTGAGCTCTTCCTCCTCAGTACTCTCCCGTCCCAAGAGTACCAGCTCACCCTCTCAGGCACTAGTTCCATCTGTCAACAGTCAGTCTCATTCTCGTCAGTACTCCTCACCAGGCTTGTCCTACTCCCTCTGCTGCTATGTACTCACTATTTACGTCACGCGATTATCAAGTCTCAAGGTCCCTTCAGCTGTCTCAGCTCCATAATCCTGATGCAACAGGCACTTCCTAAGTCATCGCAGATCATAATACGCTTTCAGCTCAACAGACTCGTCAGTCATGTCTGGCAGTCTGGTAAGCTCCCTATAAACACTGTGCTCAGTCACCACATCCTTAGCTTCACACCTAGGCTACGTACAACTGTCAAGTCATCCGCTATCCCACCCAACCCCCCCACCCCCCCCCCCCCCCCCCACCCCCCCCCACCAAACCCCCCCCCCCCCCCAAACCCCCCCCCACACCCACCCCCACCACCCACCCCCCCCCCACCCACCCCAACCCAACCACCCACCCCCCCCACCCCCCACCCCACCCCCCCCCAACCACCACCCCAACCCCCCCCCCCCCCCCCCCCCCACACATCGGCACGTCCCACTCTCGGCGAAGTCCATCACAGTCATTCCTCTACCTCGGAAGCTACACATACGTGCCCCCCAACAGTGACAATGCTCCCTCAGCCTCCACTCTCTTTGACTCTGTACACATCCCGCTACAGATCTACATCCCTACGTCAAGGCTCACTCTCTCGGTCAGCCCAGCACAAACTCCTGCGCACAGACGCACTGCACCTACTCGTCTCTCTGCGCACCATACCTATTAATCGAGACACCATACAGAGTCAGTTCCCATATCGGCACACATAAGTCTCCCCATCACTGTCTCATGATCAGAATAAAGCCCAGTCCCACTTCTCAGTTCACAGTCCACTAGTCAGGTATCACAACCCGGTACACGTATCTGATCGTCAATCACTGATCAGTACCATCCGCTCTAGCCTCCACCCATACAGTGCTCAGCTACCACCTTCTCGCTCCTGTTCCATCCAACTACAGGACAATCACTTCAACTAGCCACACACAGTCAGAGCCCTCACATATACGTGTCAGTCCTCACTTGTCAGTCCAACATCGTGTTCACAGCTCCATTAACGGCTCTCCTCGTATCATAACTACGTCTGCTCACTCAAAATGTCAGCATCACTCACCAACCATGTCTGCGTAACATCCGTTCCGCGTCCAACCCCAGTCCATAGCTACATACAATCCGCGTCACAATTCTCTATCTAATGCGTCCCAGTCACCACTCCATCGCTCCACGTCTCACCATCGCGCTAGTCCAACAGTCACTGTCACCAATCCAGTCACAGTCTCCCTTCACAGCTCCACGCTCCCATCTGCTCAAGCGACAACCTCCACACAGCCTACAGTGTCTTATCACGCCCACTCATCAGTACACACTCAGTCCTCGTCACTCCAGCGACAGCTACAATGGCTCTAAAGCTCACCATCAATCGGCCTCGCTCCAACTCCTACTCTGTCTCCACTATATCTTCAAGTCAAGTCCACTCTACTAAACGCTTAGCCTACACTTTTCCGACTCACAAACTGTCAGCTCCTTACACACAGTCCAGCCTCACACACCTCTCAGTGCCAAGTCCACCACTGCTCACTGCTCCATCTCCACTGCGTCAGTCACCACTACTTCAGCCGCCATCCACAACAGTCACTAGCTCACATAATAGGTCCTAAGTCCCATCAGTCAGATCCTCCGCAACACGTCCAGTACAACAGTCATCTCCGTCCCATACCCCAGAGCTCACACGGTCTCTATCCCCAGCGGACCATGTCCCCTCCCCAGGTCTCCGTCCATCAACTCGCTCCTCGACACCCATCGTCCCAGTCCCACAACAGTGTCATCCCAGCGTCTTCACTTCACACGCCCCCCGCCCTGCCGCTCCACACTCACATTCGGACCAGCTCACCAAAAGTTAGTCCCTAATACGCACACGCTCTCTCGCTCCATCACGTCCCAGATCCTCAACACAGTCATAGAGCGTCCTAATTCCCCACCCCCCCCCCCACCCCAGCTGCAACTGACAACTCCCCAGTCCCCTGTCCTAACAGCTCTCTTACACACTCTAGCCGATGCTCCACACATTCATGTCCACTCATCGCCGAGTACTACGTCTATCCTGTCTCAGAGTGTCACAACCTAAGTCCTCACTCACAGCTCCCACAACCATGCGGTCCAGTGCTCCACAATCCAACAGTCTCAGTCACACACCACACACCGCTCATATGCTAACACTCACTTCACAGTCTTTTACATCAGTACAGCTCACACCTCACACGTGTCTAGCTCACTCTTTTCTCGTTAACGATCTCCACATACACTCGCTCAGTCCAACCGTAGTCCACACTCACCACGACGCAGTCCACGCCACCTGTCCCAGTTCACAATCTCATCGTGCTCGATGACCATCTCTTAAGCTGTTTACATCACCGGCCAAGCTCACACACTCACGCAGCGACTAGTTCCATCTCACCTCGTTCACACGGCACACCACGCAAGTCTAGTGACCATCACACTAGTTCAGCCTCCCTATCAGCTAATCGAGCCCGTCCTGTCCGCGCACACGTCACACCAACCAGTTCAAGATTACCACTCTAAACAGCTCTCTCTAACACATACACTCATGCTCACGTCTACACCAGTCATCGCCACTACCACAGAGCCTCAGGTCATAACACTCGCGTAGCTCCCCACTCAAGCTGACTCACATGCTCACACTACAAGCGTACTATAGGCCCTCTGATCCAGTCCAATACGTCCAGTCCATACAGCACAGGCCTCCAGATCACTCCTAGCTAAGATCACTCATCTCACGTCCATCAACAAAGTTCCTAGGCGACAATATCTCCTTCAGTCCAAACAGTCATGTCCAACGTCAGTCCAATAGTTAGTCATCAGTCCAGCTCACCTGTAACCTGGATCTAACTCACAAGCTACTCAGCTCCCATCAGTCACCACTGAGCTCTATAGGTACCCTATCTAGGCCTCAGTCCTTCAAGTCTAGCGACCATCTCCCTATCGCGCCCAATCCCACGCTCCAGTCCTTCACTGGTCTATCGCGTCAGTCAACAAGTAAGTCCAACAGTGTCACAGTACACATATACAACGGCCAGTCCCACAATACCGGTACAATAGTACCATCTCTAACTCTCACTGCTCAGTCACTCCCCAACTACCCTGTCCTGCCAACTAGCTATGTCTCATTTCCTCGTCTACACTGCCCTCCAACAGGGTCAGTTCAATCAGAACCAGCCTCAACTCCTCCCTCGTATGCTCATGTACACAGCTCTCAACCTCGTCATTCCCACTCCGCGTCCTCGCTCACCACTATATCAGTCAGTCCAACACTGTCACTGTCTCAACTCCACTCCCCACAACCGAGAGTGCGTCCAAACAGTCAGTGCTCCCACATTCACGAGTGCAGTCCAACAGTCAGTCATCAGTCTTCCAACAGTCGTCCATAAGCCAACAGTCAGGTCCAATAGTCAGTTCCATCTAGAGCTCTCAATGCCTCTCACATGTCACTCGCTACATACAGTACAGCTGCACTCCTCCAGTCTGTTAATCATTCACCATACCATACGATCAGCTGCAAATCTTACCTTAAGCCGCCAAATGTGCAGGCCCTATCACACGATATCGCGCGCTCAGCACGCGTCAGTCGATAAACGTCCAGCCCCGCACCACACACACCGTCACGATCCATCGGCAGGCTGTCACTTCCTGTGCCAGCCTGCTCACCACGCGCTACCCCGCTCCATCACCAGTTACAGGCCTACACAAACGGATCGTCTACATCACTCGTTCATCACCAATGCTCCCCGCGAGCACCTAACACCGCTCCAAGTCCCACTCACGATCAGCTACACATCATACATCTCAAGTCAGGTCCCACTCATAGAGCTCAGCTCACACACCTATTATCATCTACCATCACAGACCTCCTTACATGCTCATGTCACTCATCAATCAGCTTAGCTTCACCTTTACATGAAAGTCGCCACTCATGATCAGGCCGCCACAACAGAGCTCAGAACCTATACAGTATGTCTCACTCATATTAAACGTCTAGCGATAACTAAACCTCGACGTTAGCACATACTGGCTGACCACTGTCCTACACGTCCATGTCACATAAGCTCCCCAATCCTCGCGCTCAGTAACACGTCCCTCGTCTCCCTCCTACCAAGTCCCAAGTCCACTCTAAGCCGAAGCCTCCTCGTCCTAATCACTCGTCACACAGCCTCACCCTCACTCCGCGTACACAATTCCCCACTCGCTCAGGACAAAGTCAGTACTCACCAGTACAGTCATACACAGGGTCGCTCACCATACTGTCAGTCCATCGTTCGTCCCACTCACTCGCCTCCCCACATCAGCTCCCCAACACACACCGTCCAGCACTCACCCCCCCCCCCCCCCCCACCCCCCCACCCCCCCCCCCACCCCCCCCCCCCCCCCCCCCCCCCACCCCACCCACCCCACCCCACACACCCCCCCCCCCCCCTCCTCACAGGTCACTGGTGCCCATCAGTATCTAGTCACCATCACAGTCTAAGTGTCTCTCTACTGTACAAGCGCCTGCTCTGCTCACCTTTCCACCTCCTCAGTCTCGAGTACCATCTATCGTTTGCCTCCTGACTACTGTCAATGTCCACTCAAGCTCACTCACAGTCCTCATCCACCGGTCAGGTCCATCTAGTCTGACCAAGACGGCTACTAGCCTCTCATACACTCGTACTAGCCCTCCTTCATTCAGTGCAGCCCGCACTTTCAGCTCCTATGTCCCACGGTCACGCTGCAACAGTCACTGGCACCACAACTAAGTCCTCCACACCCGCTCTAGGTGCCATCTACAAGCTCAGTGCAAACCGGACAGTCCAAATCAGGTCTATAGCTCAATAGACAGCTCACTAGTCTCCCAACAGTTCCCCATCTCTACTCCTGGCACCACTATACCCAGTAGCATCATAACATACTAGGCCCCCCCCCCCCCCCCCCCCCCCCCCCCCCACTCCTCCTAGTCAGCTCCAAACAGCTACCTGTACTAAGTAAGTTCATCACGCCTCCACCTGACAATACCAGTAACACGCTCACACACACATGCCATCAGTATAAACTGCCAGCCGACATCTCCACTCGCCTACACCCCCCTCCCGTCACCACATAAAGCTAGAGTCCAATCATCACAGTGCCAGACACTACTCAACAGGTGCTAGCTCCCCGATCACCTCAGGCCACAATCTCGATCAGTCATCAGTTCAATACAGGTCTTGTCTCCAAAACCACACGAGAGGGATCTCGTCAAGCTCGCAGGTGGGAATGATCTTATACTTCCTAAAATCTACCTCTAACAAACTGCCACTGGTGTCGGAATCTTCGTCGGAGCTCGGCAGCAGCGTGTGCGCTGTTTTGCTCACTTTTGCACGGTCCGTCGTCCTGTATGCTACTGTCGTGGGCCTGCATCCGCCTCTAGTCACATTAAATCACTCTTAGATCGCGCCTACGTCGATTATTTCGCGCCTAAAATAACACTTCTCATAAAATGTGAAATATTGTCTGAGGCGACCCGTTTATCACATCCCCGAATACCAGATGGTTTCCTTAGCTCGGATGCTCTGTATATGAATCGTCTTCTCCGCTTGGTTGCTTACGACACCACTCTTCCTCCTCATCACATCTCTAATAGACACCAGCTAATCGCTGCACTCTGCCCTACTCACCTGTGCGCGCGTACGCGGCACAACCGGCCTCCCCACCTGAGTCTATACGACCACAACGGGCAGGCGCGCGCTCGATCTCCACGTCCCACAACCACGTCCCAATCTCGTCTCTCCCTCTCACGCTCCACACGCTCCTCATCTACGCTCCAGTCACCATTCACGGCAAGGCAATGCCACACACGTCAGTCACCCCTAACCTCGTCCATATTCGTACATCAGTCAGTCAACATCGCTCAGTGCACCTCACTCAACATGTCATTCCAACACTGGCAGCCGCCTTCCTGTCAGCTCAATCCTCAGCGCACGTCCCATCTGCCTCCATACAGTCTATGTCTCCAATCCTACTGTCCACCACTTCTCATCCCGCTCACTTGCTCACACTCTACTATTGTCTGTCTATCACCAGTTCTGTCCTACTCGTGTCAAAAGCCGTCCATCAAGACACATCAACAGCTCAGTCCATCAGTCCAGTCCAACACTGTATCTGCGCTCACACCAGTTCAGTCTATCTCCACCGTCCCGTCACACTCTATGAGTCCTGCGTACAACTGACCAGGCCAGCGCCATCTCGTCCCCAGGCACAACCTCGAGTATCGCTCCCCACACCTGTTGATCTAAAATCTCTCAGATAAGTTCTCCACACAGTCCTGTAACTGCAGTCATGCTCACCACCTAACTAGCGCCCACATAACCTCATAACTCCCAGTCTCCCAGATCAGTCCACCTGCAGCTCTCATACACCGCGTAAGCTCCTACACAGTCAGTCCTAACCACGTGTCTATTGCTCAATTACCGCTCTGGCCCATCAAGTCACCCTACGCTGTCCAACTGGTCCCCTGCCGCCATTGCAAGTCACTATGCTGCGTTAATCAGTACCTCGGATCTCTAGATCACCAGTCAAGCTCCCTGATCTAGTCACAGTCTGTCTAAGTCCCTACACACTGTGTGATAGATCACTCAGTCAGTCCAACAGTCAGGTTAAACAGCTCAGTCACATCTCAGTCAGTACCTACAGTGTGTCCCAGTTCCCCTTAACCAGTCCCCTGCTCATCACACTCGCCCAGTCACATACACGGTCATTGTCCACCTCTAAGTCCACACGTCCATCGCTAACTTACAGCCACGCTCACCTATTCAGCGCTGTGTCAACTCATCGTACTAGCTCACTCCGACTCTACTCGCGCATATCTGCGTCAGACCCATCCACGCGCAGTCCATACCAGTCAGCCGTCCCCATACACTCGTCACTGGTCACCATCGTCGGATCCCCTCTATCGTCTCAGTCTACCTCTATCGCGTACAGCGCTCCTATACACCCAGTCATTCACTAACTGTAACAGCGATCCCAATCAGTCAGTCCCAATATCCGTCAGTCCCATCCAGACGCACACTCCAAACTAGTGCCAGTCTCCTCATAAACAGCTCATTCGCCTCGCCACTCGCCGTCCAGCGCAACAATTCAGTCCAGGTCCGTCACACAAACTCGTCTGTCTCCAACTGTCCCTCGCGCCCCGCTACACATCCGCTCGCCCCCCCCCCCCCATAATCACATAACCGCGTCCCCAGCCCTCACCTTCAGCTCCATAACACGGTCATGCCCTCTCTCATCTCGTACACCCTGCGCCACAGTTGGCTCACTATCCTATCACGTCAAGTCCAACACTCGCTCATACCGTCCAACAGCCTCAGGTCACCATCAGTAAGTCATTCACCTCGTCAGCTGACTCTCACACTCAACACTGTACGCTACCTCTAATTCAGTATAGTCCCATCACACTGCTACTGCTCACCAACAGTCAGTCCAACAGTCAGTCCAAACCATCACAGCTCACAACACACAGCTCCACTCGCTCTCCACAAAGTAACACGGCTGCCCCACTGCCAGTCCATACTCTCGGTCTGTCCCACCTTGTGTCTCAGTCTCACAACACGTCCAGCTCCCCAACCACATAGTTCAGTACTTCCACCAGCTAATACGCTCACCATAACAGTCTGACTCCACCAGTCAGCGCCCACAAACAGTACCCTAGCTCAACTCGTCCAGTCCCTCCTTTATCTCTCCCCGTGTCTATCGCCGCCTCAAACTTAGTCTCATAGGCTGCTCACCACTCTGCGCTATCTAACCACTCAGTTCCGGGTACTCACTCAGCGCAAGCCTACACTACATCACACGGTACACCGTCACCCCTTCACATCTGTCTGCCTCATCCAACACTGTTCAGTTCCATTAATCAGTGTCTATCTCCAACTCGTCGTGTCCACCATTAAGCGCCCCTCTTAACCCTCATCGCGCACAGTCAGTCTGTCACACATAGTCAGGCCATACCTCTGCGCACAGCTCCCACAAACGTTCCCCTCGGCCCACAGTCAGTCACAGATGTGTCACTAGTCCCATAATGTCATGTCACCAACCATCACAGCTCACATTACACTCAGGGTAAGCGCTCATCCCCTAAATTGCTCTCGCTCTCTTCTCTCGTCAGTCGAGACTCATGCTCACACTGTCATAAGAGACACACAGTTCCCCAACAGTCAGTCCAAACAGTAATCGCTCCTCGTAAGTCATACCACGCTACAAACCGTACACCTCGAAGTTCATCACCGCGCACAGTACTAACTGCCACTGTCAAAACAGCTCATAGCTCTCCACTCGTCTTCCTCGTCTCGTCACTATCTCCCCGGCTCAGTGTCTCATCTAAGGGTCCCAATCACACCACCGATCACCGCGTCTGTTCATACACAGTCCCAGTCACTCGACTAGCGCAATTCCCCACAGTCACCGTCCACTTAACTGGATCGGCACATATAAAGTCCACGTCTTAATCATAGTCACAACACACTGTCCTCGTCCCATTACACACGTCTGGTCCACCATCACTCGTCTCTATGCTCACCCTCTCATAGTCACATGCCGTCCAAGTACCCCGCCTACTTCAAGGTCATATATCTCCTCACTGTCAAGCTCCATAACATACCCTGTACTGTACCACACCAGTACCGCCTTCCACTCCTCCTTCAGTCCGTGCTCCAACACAGTCCCCTGTCCCTAGTCTGTCACAAGTGTCTGTGCACAGTACCTACACGTCATCCTCAATATGTCTGTCCAACAGTCGTACAAAACCTCGTCAGTCACACTACCCGCTCACACAGCGACCATAACACCCAGCTTCTCGCTCCATCACACTGGTCCATTGTCCGTACTATCTCACGCTCCATTCAAGTCCATCTAATGCTCTACAGTCCCTCGTGCGTAACTATAGTACGCGCACCATCTCACACAGCAGCGACTCTACACACGTCCTGTCACTCTAACGCTCAGCTCACAACCAGGCAGCGCCTACAGTCACACACGTCCTACCCAGCACTCGTTATCTAAAACATCGCGTCATACTTCCAATCCTTAGACTGCATCTCGCCGTCCACATCAGTATCTCTCAGTACTGTACACACGCCAGCCTTCAACACCAGTCATACGCTCTACTCACACACTCGCTCAGTCCTCAATACAGTTATGCTCACAACACTAGTAAGGCCCGCACCCGTACATCGCGCTCAAACAGTCAGTCCAACTGTCAGTCCATCAGTCAGTCCAACAGTCAGTCCAACCGTCAGGGTTCAATTCATTCAGTCCATCAGTCAGTCAACAGGTCGTGTCCATCCGTCAGTCCATCTAGTCTATAGTCTCTCGCCTCTCTGTACCTAACACCGCGATATTACCTTCAGTGCCATGCACTTGCCACTAACACATCGTCACAATATAACCTACTCAGCTCATCGCTGCCACATATCTAAGTCACAACCGCGCTCAGTCACTCACAATACATAGTGCTCCTCGCGCCATATCAAAGCGCCGTCTCGTTCCCACTACCACGATCCATGTCCTCATAAGTCACATCTATCATAGGCTCGCCTCCATCAGTCAAACGTTCGTCATCTGTCTCAATCAGTCCCAGCTTTTCCAGTCCAGCGCCATCAGTCCTTCCAACCAGTTCCGTCCCCACTGTCAAGTCCTTACCACATACACGTCCATCCTACAACACGTCCCGTCCTCACACAACTCACTCACTCGTCTACCAACTCATGGGTCAGTCCACAAGCTGTAATCGTCCACACATCCAAGTCTACGACAGAAAAGCGCCCGAGCTCCCCCTCGTCAATCGCCGTCATCAACCAGTCAGGCAATCAGCGACACACTCTCCATATCGAGTCCCACGTACCAATAGCCGTCCAGTCCACGCCTATCTAAGTACAGCTCCCCCTCATCTCAGTCACGTCATATAGTCCAGCGCTCCATCTGTCATTCAATGCCTGTGCATGGCCCACATCAGTCTCACGTAGTCCATCTCTCGTCACACTGCTCACATACAGCACCGTGCACAACAGTACGAGCTCTGTCACCGCCCCCTGCACTATACCTGTCCCATAGGTCAATCTCTCGCGCCTTGCCCCACAGTCACAGTACATATACCACTTCACATCGCTACATTCTCAGCTTCTCGCCTCAACTCGCTACATGTCTACTACGCACTAGTAGCTCCACCACTCAGCGCTCTGTCTACTCGCAGCTCCCGAGTATAGCTCCCTGTCCTCATCGTCCAATCTGCCATCATGCTCACCAAACAAGTGCTCACCCGCTCAAATACAGTCAATATAGCCATACCTGTCAGCTCATCACTCGCTCTACACCTGCGCAATCACTGCGAACGCTCCAACCTCGCTCCTGTCCTATAACATAGGCACAGGTCCATCAGCGCCCTTTCCACCCCCTAATTCAGTCACCATATACGTCTCTCGCTCACATTCCTCCTCGAGCTCCTCTCCCGGCTACCTCTACAGCTCACCAGCTCACCCCTAATAACTCGTAAGTCCTATACTCAGCGCCGCTCCCCACCTTGCTCACTCCACTCAGGTCACCTCCACTGCTCATGCCTACACAGTCTCACGTCAGCCTCCCACTATACCGTCCAACATCATCCTCGCGTACCTCACAAGTCCTACATCCTAACAGTCTCTCTCTCAACCGAGTCAGCCTCCAAACCTGTCCTCCTCGCTACATTCTCGCTCCTCGCCTCCAAACCGTCTCGCGCTACACCACTGTCCCTCATCAGTCCAGCCGCGCTCTCACACACGCGTCACTCGTCCCATCACACACATGCGTAAGCCGCCTCATCCTCCTGCGCTACGTCATTGTCTCATCGACCAACACACATCTACTCGTCTCGCTCACATACACTCGTACACTAATCACCCGTCCTCGAGTCCCGTCCTCGTACAGGCCACATCAATCGTTACGTGTCGACAGCGCACACAGCTCCTCTATACCAGCTACTCTCGACCAGCCACATTTCGCACTACGCTCTCCTATCCATACGCGCTCAGTCCCCCCAACCAGTACTCTACAACACTCGCAGGCGCCTTCAACAGTAGCCGCCGCCTTCTCCTCGAGTCAGGACCATAAATACAGTACACAGTCACCTACTGTCCTATGTCCCCACTCACAGCTCAATCCGACAGGTCAGCTCACATCAGTCCATATACAGGACTCTCACTCACCCACCTCACAGCTCACCAACACTCGTCAGCTCACATCACGTCAGCTCGACAGTATAGTCCGACACGCGAACGTCCCATCGCAGGCACAGCGAGTGTAACCTCTGGTAAGCTACACTCCCTCGTCCCACGCTCTTCAACATACGTCAGCGCACACACTACAGATCAACGGCACTCCCCATCTGTTCACCCAGCGCCATCATCAGTCCGCCGCTACACTCAGTCTCAGTCCAAGTGTAAGCGCCCATCTCATGTCTAGCTCACAACACTAGCTGTCATATTATGTCTAGATCCCTCCAGTCCCTATTCTCTCACAGTCCAGAGTACACAACAGTCGTTCACACACAACCAGTCAGTACAAAAGCTCAAACACCACCGTCAGCTCACCCATAACAGTGTCAAGCTCCTACACATCACCGTCACATCCTACACCTACACGTCAGCTTCCCATCCTCACTCGCTCACTCACAGCGTCATCGCTCACCACCTACACCCCTCGTCCACGCTAACTACTGCACAGGCTCATCCAGCGCACAGTCCTCACACCAGTCAGTCCATCCAGGCACCTCGCGCTTCCAATACTTCCAGTCCCATCACTCGTGCACAATGTCAAATCGCCGCTTGTTCCACTCTCTCTACCTGTCACAGGCACACGCTAATCAGCTCGTCCTTACAGTCACTAAGCGCACCCCCATACAAGGCGACGCTCACCAAACTGCGCTACGCCTACTCAGCAGTCCAAACAATGCGCAGCTCATAAGCTTCAAATCCGCTCTGCGCCTCCGACCCCATCAGCTCGTCTTTCATCAGTCACGTCAACAGTCAAGGTATCTACCAGCTCAGGTACCTCTCACGTCAGTCCCTCACACGCCTGCTGTCAGTTCATCAGTCAGTCCAACAGTCTGTCAATTCAGTCAAACAGGTAGATCAGTATCTCTCTCTTTTACTCACTCCATACACGTTGCTTCGCGCTGCGATGATGAGTCGCATTCCGTGTAGCGTTGGACCAGGATGGCTCTGCACTCTGCTCTACGCCGGCACCGGTATGATGAATATCCTGGACCAGCTTGCGCACTGACGGTTCGCGACTGGCTCGCGGCTCCCCCCGCTGCGATGAACCTGCTTGACGCTGACCTGTTGAGCGACTGACTGCTTCGTGACCTGACCTGCGTGTTGCGAATCTGATTCCGGACCCTGACTGCGTCGGGATCTCGATTCGACACTTGGACTGTCTGGCGCAGCACACGCGCTCGCGCGTCTCGATCGCTCTGGTCCTGTCCTTCTCTCACACGCTCCTGACTGATGCGACTTTATGCGCTGGGACGCTTGCTTGCGATTGATGGTCGCGGCATACATGCGACCACTGGTATGCGCATACCCTCGCGCTACGCCTGCTTGGACTGCTACACTGCTTGGCTATCGTGCAACTGTTCTAGGATGACACTCGCTTGGACTCGGCACCTGTCGGACTGATGGACTGAACTGGATGGCGACGGTTGGATACGGCTGCTTGGATGCGACGGTTGGACCTTTTGCGACTGCTACTGCTTGCGCACCTCTCGCGATCCTCGTTCGCGACCGAGGGACTGTGGGACACTCGACTGTGCGCTCACGCCGTACAAGATAGCTCGCCGTCTGAGTCTGACCACTGCTACTGGTCTCAGACTTCTCATTGGGACATGACTGATGTACCACTGATCCCTGCACGCGGCTCCCCTCGACGGTCGGGACTGCGCCTCGCGCGCGCGCTCATCGACACGGTTCGGTCTCGATCTGCTTGGCATCCTCTCATGGCTGTGCTCATGCACCTGATGGATACATGATCCTCGATGCGTCCCTTCACTGCTAGAGTCTCTCTGTATCGCTCTGGTACAGGATGCCTCTCGGCATACTCGATGCGATTCGCACCCCTCGTTGGACCTGCATGGCATGACTCGTCGCGATTGGATCTCCCGCATGGTACTGCCCCAGGTCTGGATCTCTGTCTCTGCACTGGACCCTCGCCCTGCACTGACACCTGACTGCTTGCGACTCGATCCAGTTGAGATGTCGCTCCTGCGCGCGGCTCACTCGTCAGTTCGGCTCAGGGCTACTGCTGATGGACATCACCGCGTGGACCTCGTCAGCGTCGTCAATAACGGTCTCGGACTGACTGCTCGCGTCTAACGGCGGCGTGCGGACTGCCCGGGCTTCGCACCGGTTGGCTACCTGATCTCCGCAGTCGGATCATCGCTACGTGTTGATGACCTGCGCTAGGCTACGTCGCACGTTGGACGGATACTCCGCATAGTCGGCACTGCGCCTCAGCGCTACCTCGCATGTGCTCGGACATGACTCGTCTGGCAACTCGCTCAATGTTCGCTCGTAACTCTTTGCATGCGACTGCTTAGCAGACGCTCGACCGCGCTTGGTATCTGTCTTGCTTGGCTCCGGTTGGACCTATGATCTGCATCGGCTCCTGGACTGTGCGGACAATCGACTGGGCTCGGCGCGCAGACGCATGGCGCTCTGACTGTTGCGGCAATGCCTACCAGCGTTGCGACTGCACCCTGTTGGAATCGACACCGGTGTGGCACTGATATGATGGACACTCGTCGCGTCGCGGACTGACTGTCCGGCATCGACTGCTTGGTGCTGACAGGCGTGGTCCTGCATGCTGGGACATGCTCACTAGCAAGGCGATTGACGCGTTGGTCCACTAGCTACTGTCCTCGCACTGGACCCTGATCGTCGGACTGCACACTCGCTCTGCCGTCCTCGACATGACTGGCTCCTGTCATCGTTGAGACCACTGCTACGGATTGATGGACTGCGCTGAGTAACTGCTACCTGTCTTGACTCGAGAGGCTGCGATCCGCCTGGGGCTCAGGTGAAGGACTGGACTCGTCTGGCTCTGAATCCTGGTATCCCCCCTCGACTCGCGCGGCTCCTCGACTGCTTCGGTCTGACTGATGGTACTACTCATAACCTGCTTCTGGCACACGTCTGTCGCTCGGCACTTTGACTGGCGTGGATATTGATTTTGGCTCCTGCACACTCCGCTTGCGTCTGACTGTCGCGAGGCTCCTCTACTTTTCTCCCGCGACATCGGACTCTTGCGCACATGACACTCGTTGGACTGACTCGCTCTAGAGCACTGCAATCATCGCTTGCGTCAGCTCATCCCGAGTTCCGCTCTGCATATCCTGTTCGGTACCCCGTACTTCATGAACAGGTAACCTGTCGGCGCGTCCCCTCGACTGGTCTGGATCCCTGACCTCGGCGGTCTCGCCTTGGTTGGCTCCTGACTGGGCGGACTGACGTTGCGTCACTTGCACTGCTAGGGTCTCGACTGCCTCGATACGCGCTATTCTGCGTGATTGCGAACCCTGACACTCTCTGGCACTGATGCGACATGTTGTTGCCACTTCTCTGGTAATCGGGCCTCGTATGACTCTTATTTGATGGTATGTGCACTCGTCGAAATCGACGGTTGCGCACATTTTGGATGACTGTTTGATTGACTGTTGGCGCACCAGACCTGATCGGAATGCTAACTAGCTTCCGGATCTGTCCGGACGCTAAGTACCTGTCTCGGCTACTAGCTTGATGGTACTGACTGTTGACCCACTGACCGGATGCGACTCAGCAATGCATGGTCCTGCACTGTGGGATCGCAATGTTCGCGACCCCTGCTCCTGGCTCACTGCGACACGCGACATTGCGAATGACCATGTGGATCTGACGGTTGCGCTCTGCTCTCTCGCTTGGTAGCTACCTGCTGTTGTCTGATGGTTGGATGACCGCGTCGGAACTGATGCGCTAAGTCGACTGTTATCGACGCGAGGACCAATCCTCTTTGCGAGATCGACTGTTGCGATGCATATCGCGTTGGGAAGCGACTGCGAGGGCTACACGGGCATACCCTCGTTCGAGCTACATGCATCCCTCGCATGGGACGAGACGTTGCTACTGACCCTGCTCTCGCGTACCCACTCTACTTCGCTGGTCCGATGGCGCTCACGCATAGGTTCGGCTCATTATTGGATGATACTGTCACGGACTTCGACTGTACTGGCTATGCACCTGTTCGCGCACTGTCGGCGCTAGTCTGGCGACTGTTGTACCTGCACTCCGGCGCGGTCTGTCCTGATGCTCTTGATTCTGTGTCTCGGATCTGACCCAACGCACTCTGACTGACCTCGGAGCATGCTCGTCTGGCTATCTGCATGCCTAGGAACGCGCTAATGGTGGGATGAACTCTTTCGGTATGACTGTCCGGATCTTCGATCCGGTCTGACCTGACTGTTGACCTTATCCTCTGACACTGATCGGATCCTGAAGAGCCTCGCCATATACTGCAGGCTCTGCGCACTCGCTATCGTTGCGCTATACCTCGTATTGCGCTACGATAGGTCTGCCGTCACTCCGTCACGCTCGCGGTCACTGCATCTCTCGCTGTCATGACTGCTCGGCGCTATGATCGCGTTGCTCCATATATCTAGGCAATGATCGGTCCAGCGACCCGAGTCTGCGCCTGACGGTTGGACTGATCCACTGCCTGCGGGCAATCGGCCGCGCGCTCCTGTCTTGTGATTGAATGCTGCGGTCCTGCGACTTGTCCTGTATACTCAGATCGCCGTATTGATCCCTGTCGCGGATCGTCGGCGCCAATGACTGCTTTGGCCGACATGATCTGTCTGCGACATGCTCACCGCGTCTGGACTAGCACCTATCTCGAGATGACATGCTCGTGGCCTAATTTCCTTTTCGGATACTGACTCGTTGGATCCTGATCGGTCGCGCGAATGTCCTGTCGGACCCTGATCCTCGCATGCGCACTGACACGCGCGGGCGTAACTGACCTCGCTTGGATCTGCTACTGTCTGCGACTCCAGCCCTCTATCTGCGACTGATGGACTTCGACTCCGTTGGCGAACTTTTGGCACACTGCACATGCTTCGCATCTCGAACCTGCATCGGTAGTGATGTTGGCTATTGAACCCTCGATATGGACCTGTCTCGCACGCGCTATCCCCCTCGCTCACTGCGCTTGCGATATGACTGCTTGGATCAGCACTGGCACTCGTCTCGTTACGGATACCTGACTCGATGGCTCTGCACATGCTTGGCACGCGACCTCGCTTGGCGCATCTGACTGCGTGGCCTCCTGCTAGTCTCGGACCCTTACACTGTTCGGCCTCGATGTCTTGGACTGAACTGTTGCAACCTGATCCGGACTGACCCTGTTGGTGCGACCCTGATTGGACTTCTCATTCATCTGGAATGAACTGTCTGGCTCATCTAGAGCACCTGCGTTCGGTCCCTGATCACTGTTCGCGACTGCTCCCGCGCGTGGTCTCCTCGTCTGATCTGCGGCTCCTGACTCGCTCTAGACTGTCGCGTCGTGGTTCTCAGACTTACTGGACGATGATGACTGCGGCACTGACAGGCTTGACTCCGCGGCATTGACCATGACTGTCTGGACTCTCTTATCGCTGGGAATGACACTGATGACACTCGAACCTTGCGGCACTGAGCGGCCGCGACTTGTTCGAGATCTTCATACCTGAGGACTGACCAGTCCTGGACGCGACTGTCTGCGCACTCTCGATGCGTCCTCGGCATCTCGAGATACGGAGCGAACTTCGAACTGTCGGCGCTCCATGACATGTGCCGATACTCGACTGGACGCGACCTCGCTTCCGCGTCCTGCCCTGCTTGCGTACTGACTCGCTCGGAGATCGACTGGCTGGACTGTCTATGTTGGATACTGACTGTTGGACTGACTGGTGCGACTGACTCGGGGATGTACCCGGGCTCCGGGGAATCGACTCGCTAGTGCGCTCCTTACCTGTGTCTGACTGCATGATTGGGACCTGATCTCGCGCGCGAACTGCTCGAGCGTCCTGACTGTCGCCGGGACCTGCGCTCGGCGATCCTTACTCTTTGGACATGCTCCTGATGGCTCTGAGGCAGTGTGGCTCTGACCCTGTTGGCTCTCTGCTCTGTTGGACCTGACCTGAAGATCTCGACTGTTAGCAAGGAAGCTTGATATACTCTCAGTCCGCGACGCCGGTACCATGACTGTTGGTCTCGCCAGACCTCGACGCTCGCTGCGTCACCTGACTGACCTCGGATCCTGTCGGTTGGCACGCTACCTCCATCGATGAGAAGAGACCTGTGCTGGACCTGCACTGCATGGACTGTCAGGAGGCGCCGCGCACGCGACGGTTCCGGCAGCACGCGTCTGGTACTAGCCCCCTATACTGTGCATGATACCAGATCCTGCTCGCGCGTCTCAGGTCTGTTGCTCCCTGATGAGGACTCGACTCGATGGCGTCTCCTGATCAGGTCCTGCGACCTAGATACATGATCCGGGACTGGATGTAGTGGGACTGGCCTCGATTGGCGAAGAGATCTGCACCCCGGCCCACTCGACACGCAGTTCGCCGGCATCCTCCCCACCACCCCCCCCCCCCCCACACCCCCCCCCCCCCCCCCCCACCCCCCCCCCCCCCACCCCCCCCCCCCCCAGCTACGGTAGAGTATACTGGTCTGTCGGCCGCACCTTACTGTGCGGATGCACTGATGGCAACGGACTGACCTTCGCGACCAGTCTGGCTCCTGAACAGTCTGCGCACTGAACGGTTGGACCCCTGACTCGCTTGGTGTGTATGATCCCGGAATCGACCTGTTGCGCCACACTCGCTCACGCTGTGGACACGCGCTCAGCGACTCGCCAACCGTTGGTACCCGCGACTGCCTCGGACTGACCAACGCTTTGCACCAGCTACTGTTGGACTGACTCGAGCGCGGCTCCTGATACGCGATCGTATACCGCGATGCTTGGTACCTGACGCGCATCGGTCCTGCAATGCATCATCCCGCGCACTGACCTCCGCTTGGATCACGCGCTATGCGCGGCTACTGCTCTGCGCTCGTGGCTCCTCTGGATGCGCCTCACGCCATCTATCCCTTGCAGGGAGTCGTACACCCTCGGCGCGCCATCTAAGCTCAAACACTACGCTGCAGAGAGTCTTAGCAGTCATGTGTCGCGCGGCTGAAGTGCTTTCGCGTGCTATCTCAATCAACACTCACTGAATTCTGCGCACTCACGACGACTCCGAGACCCCCCCCCCCCACCACCCCCTTCTATCCGATGACCACTCCTATAGCATGTGTACTACATACCTCCTCATCCTAACTTCCACTCTTACCATGCGACTGTTGTGTGCCTCTGCGACCCTTCCATCTCTAACTACACCATTCCCGTCTAACCCCTCACGAAATTCGAATGACTTCACACCTATCCTGCGAGATCCACTTCCGCCGGCAACTGAATGGCAACAAAGTAAAAACTGCATCATCCATCGCTCACTCTCGACACTAAGCTTTAACTCTCTACTGATTTCTTTTTTTTCTTTCTGGACTCGCACTCTCCGCCTCTGATGGCGCTCACACAATTCTTGTTGGGCGCATATCCTGACTAGCTCTGCGCTAATACACTGACCTGCGGCAATGACGAGCTTCGCGACTCGATTGCGACCTTACTGTGCGCGCTACGATAACTGTCTGGCTCACCGAAACCTTCGCTGGACTGATTCACGCTCTGGCCCTAAGGACGGCTTGGGCTACTGATCGCGTTGGCACTTGACCTCGTTGGTACGCTCTGAATGCTTGGACTGTCTGTTCTGCATCTGACTTGTTCGGACCTCGACTACTTGGACTGTCGCGCGCACACCTGCGGGAGAGCGTTCGGATCTGCATTGGCACACTGATCTCTCGCGTCGCCGGATACATCGGGACTGACTGCGCTCTGACCCTTCTGCGATCCCTGACCGAGCTTCGTATCACTCGCATCATCGCCTGGGTACTAGGCCGCTCGGGGACATCCTTCTCTC